CAAGGTAGCATACGGTACCTTAATAAATGCCAGTCCATTGCTTTGTCAATAAATAAATTTAAATCATATTTAAAACAAAATGTACATGGAAGGAGTTATTAAGACGTAAATCAAAATTAATGGGGTTTAGAGAAAGCCTAAGTGCTTCAGGAATTTGTAACTGAAACTTGCCTATAGAAAGAGTGACGTAGAGTTTCTTACCAGTTAGTCTCGTTCGTTATACGTCTAGTTCGGGAACTGGTACTAAATGATAAATTAGAGTTTTCTATTTTGAACTATATTGACGTTTAAGTACAAAACTTTAGCGGATTAAAACGCGAAATATATTAGTTAGTAACTTACTTTAACTACGGCCTGCTGTTGCATTTGCTTTGAATAAGGTTTTTTTTTCATTTACCACCCTCGAAGCCCATTGACGAGATAAATATATTTCCCTTCAGTTCTGATAAAAATATTTCTGGGAAATTGAAACTTAATTGGATTAAGGAATCTCGTTATCCCATACAAACTTTCTACCCTCTTTTCACCACATTATAATTTAGGCAAAACTTTATTCGATATCTCCATTTAAAAAAAACACAACCGCCAAGATTCAGGCTGTACCTTGATCCTTCAGTGAGTCCGTCAGTCGTTCCATGTTCCAAGTTGCCACCGCAGATGAATTGGTGATTTTTGAATAATAATAAAATATATTAAAATAATAATCAACATGTCGTGGGTTCGATTTCTTTTAGATCCAAAAGTGTGTTCTGTGTTTCTAAAGACAATTTTTAAATGATTTTAGAAACACAGAATCATTCAACTTTCAATCTAAGAAAAAAATTTACGACATATATCTTTTTGTGTTGCTGCTGCAACCAATTGAGCAGCCGTGCTCTAATTTATAAATATATAAGTTTACAAAGGAAACCAGGCGAATATTTGGAATTCTGGATACTAACTAGGGGGTAGGAATAGGTAGGAATTCCACGCGGAGTCACGAATTAAGGAAAAATTCCACCCGGGTCACGAATTAAGGCCCACCGGATGTAATGGCCACGAGGTGTTGTCGCGTTTCGGAGCACATTTTGGTGAGATTTTATATGGCTGGGGTATTTTTCCATCCATATAGGGAACCCATGTTCGGTACTAAAAAAATATATCCAAAGACTTTTTGAACGGTACTTTTATATACTTACTTATCTATGTACGATTTACAATGTAGAGTTTTCTTTTCGTTTTGGCCTCGTTAGTTTTGCGTGATAAGTACACTTTACGTTATCTATGGTTTGATATTCTTAATATTCAGTCGATAGCTTCTTGTCAAATGCCCAAAAAAGGCTTTTATGTATAAGTTTCACAAGATCTTTTTTTTTACTTCGTCAATCGATTTCAAAAGATATTTTTCTATTACGTTAAGGGTTTACGATTATGTTACGTTTCTACTTCAATGTAAATACTATTTACTACCATAAAACTACACCTAAGAAATGAAAGACGCTAGTATTAACAAGAAAGGGACGGCGCTACTGCGGTCGACGTGATTCAAAGTTTTTTAAGCCTCAACTTACAGTTTCTAACAAGCTTATGTGCTTAATTCGGCCTTAACAGCTCCAATCAAGGAATGCCTAATTAAACAAAATCAATACGACCCTTTCACGAACGCATTTCGGAAATGAAATGTGTCATTTTCAGTTTCAGAAAGAGGGAATACGAATTACTACGCTACTATATAGTAAAAGTACGTACGTTTTCCATGGAATGGCGTCATGAACTGCACACAATACACTGCACAATAGTCACGGAACACTGTTATATCAAATAAAAATAATGCAAGGGGGTGAATTATGTAATTTTTTTATGTTATCAAACGCATGGCGCGACGCGAACGCGCTGTGGCGGACTGCAGGCAGAAATGGCGGCTTGCTGCGCGCGCAGCCCGCCCTTTTAGTAAGGATGGCTTCTGACTGAAATTTTTCACAGATTATTTAAAAGTTTTTTTTTTCTATATCAATAATTATTGACATCCATAGAAAATCAATCAAAGACTGCGATTTATTATATCGAATTAATTAAAAAGTTTTATTTATTGCGGTAGGTATTTTTACGAGGATTTATTTACAACACTTAACCGTTTAAAACGCGAAATGTACTTCTTAAACTGAGGTAAAATTCTTACATGCTTGTAATATAATGTATGATTTTTACAAGTGGTTAAAATAAATAGTAAAAAAGTTAATGCTACTACCTATTACTATCTGGTACATTTTGCGTTTTAAACCGTTTACATGTTACATTTAAATGTGTACTATATGCGTAAAGTATAAACTTTTTTCCAGGACATCGAAATGATCAAAATATACATAATACATAAGATTTTATTAGGTTTGAAGTTTAAAATTCAATTTAAAACAAAAGTTTGCACAAAAAGCCTGAAAAAGGGGACCTTGTCAACATAAACACGCCTTTGCCAAGACAAAAGGCTCGCACTTTGTAATGTACGATACTAGCATTTTATTCGACCTCTCTCATACAACCCTAAACATTCAATGCTCGCTACAGGTTCATCTCCACTATGTAGATCGTAGCTTCGCCAGCAATGTATAACGACCAAAACGATAAGTGTGGGCAAATAAAAGTTTAATACGCGAGACGAGTGATCGGGAAAGAAAACGTTGATTCTTGTGAACAATGCCTTTTGGAACTGCATGAAGAATGTTCTGTTAACACCTGTCAGTAATAAACCCTTTGTTTGTAAGTTACGCATCTCGTAGATTCGTAGCGAAAATTTCGTAGACGGCTACAAATGTTACGGCTTCATATTCAGGGAAATTCGTAACTAAAGTATCATTTTATATATGTTACGTGGTAGTTATAGTTGAGACCCTAGGCAGTAATAAATAGACAGCTTTCAAAGAAATATTCCATACTGTTAAAAACTGTAACAAGCAATCCGTAAATTTCTCGAAGTTCATCTTTTATTACTTTTACTCTTAGATGGATTCGTTAACATACTTAACTTTTTAAATACATCATAATTATACAAAAACTTATTCGTTTTTTATAACAATAGTAATAATTGTATTCAAGATCTGTAATTCTTGTATTCTAGCGAGTTTCAAACACGCGCGTTACAAAGTACGTAATGTTTGCACTTTGAGATCAAAACAATGACACTGTACCAGTCTCCCCTGCAAACCAAGACGTAAGGTAGCCAACAAGGCATTCAGAAGTTATGGCGTGTACAATACACAAAACAAGGACACCACAAAAGACCAAAGGGAGGGAAAAACCTGAATACCCCACGTTGCACTCTATGTAGCAATTACTAAGTGCAACGGAAGCTACACTGTTTTAGTGGCATTTGCTCTACGTGGGTGACGAGCCTCTAACATTTTTATTTAAATTTAACCTGAGTCATTTCACATTTATAACGAAGAATAAGAATTAGCTTAAATCAACATAACATATATTTTGTTTTTAATATTTAAAGCCAAAATGGAATTATATAATTTGGGTTATAGGTTTGGGTAATAATGTCCTTTAATTCTCTTTGGGTACGAAACCTTAAAAAAAATACAAAAATGACATATTTACTTAAACCTTTTTGTGTATAGTATAGTAGTATTACGTAGGTACTATGCGTGTTTTAGTTTAAGATTTAGCAAATTAAGTATGAGTTATTGTTTAGTCAATGACTGTTAGTATTTTTATTTGTCTGTAAGTATAAATCTGTAAGATTCCATAATATGAAATTTTTATTTACATTTTTTTTATTGCCAGCATAAATAATCGTTAAATTAATTAATAACACACTTACTCCCCTTTAGTAACAAAGTTACAGTGATACTATTAAATGAAATCTCGTGTTAATTCCCGGCGCGCGGTCACAAAGCTATAAGCTAATCCCAAACATTATTTTGCCCGACGCTCAAGTTATCCGCGATTTATAAAGCCGTTAGTTTTTATTACTGTTTATCCCGAAAGGTGGGATCCCGATTTATATAGAAGTAAACTATGCATTTGACCCACGTATTATTTATCTACATTTCGTAAAGCGGGGAAATAAACCTCTTTATTAATCTATAAGACGCGATACGGGCAAGGCACATTAAAGTATTACTATACTTATGATTAAAGATTCAGTTTCAAATGAGATATATCTTTTAAATTAGGGTTGAAAAAGAAAAACTAGTCTAACAAGGGTTGCTAACTGTAATTATAATATTAATGCATATTCTATATATTGTAATGTTTAAAAAGCAAATAAAGTGTATATCATGAACGCGCTTTTACATCAACTTTTGAGATTTATTAAATTATGTTTTATTAAAATATATAGATATATATTTGTAAGATATATATCTATATATTTTAGTTATATAAATATATATTTGTAAAAATCTTTTGTTAAAACACCCATAGACTTTTATGAAATCACTATCTAATGCCGTTAGTGAATTTCAATAGAGCTACTTTTAACTTCGGTAAAAGAACAGATAAAATGTAAATTACCGACTGCTTACGACATTTACAACTACCGCCACAGTGTCAGACAATTGATACGTTTTCTCATTACTTTACATATTAAATTCGATTACACACAACGCACTGTTAAATGATTTAAATAAAGCTAAAACTTTTTAAGTTAGGTACTTTTCTACTTTCAATATCCTAATTATCCTACGGAGAAAGTGAATATTAAACCTTTCAAATGCTAACCTTGCTAAACATTTAGAATTTTTATAGCTTTTTGAAATTAAAGTCTTTATACATTTTTTTTAACAGCGCCATCTTGGAGTCGACATTTAATACGTCAAGAAATTTTATTTTATGACAGCGTCCAGTTTAGATGTCAAATATAGTTTTTGACATAAGTTTAGATTCAAGTTCAACTGTAGGTAATAGCCTAATAGGTATACAACAATACGCAGTAGGAAATATTTAATTACTGTTTAAATTCATACTTTAAGAGTAATTCTTTAAACTACTTTTTTAATGAAACATGCAGTGATTTAGCTATGACAACGCAGTATAAAAAATTTACGAAGCTGATCGCCAAGTGGCCTTTGGATCTTTCTAAGGGTGATAGGTTAGTTTCAACATATTATGTTTATGTAATTCCGTCCCTAGAATGCGGCAGATTATTTTAGCTATTCTTATGAATTTCAGGGATCTCGGGAAAATTATCCGGGACAAAGTTAAAGCTGCATTTGAAACGTCAAACTCGCAGAAATTGAATTCTGAATCTTGCAATCAATATTATAATTCTTTGAATCGGTTAGCTGACAACCATTACAAAAACAAATATAAAAGAAAGCTTCACAGCTCTGCTACCGGTTTGAGCACTGAAGAGTGTAACGTGGTTTTATCTAACGAAGTCTTAGAATATCTGAAGGAGGAAAATAAGAGTTTCTTTCAAAAGATTTTCAGGAAGGATTCACAATGATTTTTAGGCGAATACGTCTTTTAACCTACGCCCAAAACTGTAAATTATCTACAGAAACAAAATCCTATAGAGATCACACCCCTGTTATGCTAAATGAAGTTTTAAATCATTTGAAACCAGCTGATAATGAAGTATACATTGATATGACTTTTGGTGCTGGAGGTCATACTCAGAAAATTTTAAAATCATGCAACTGTAAAATAATCACACTAGACAGAGACCCAAACGCATATGAAAGGGCCCAGAAACTATCTGATAAGTATCCTAACAGGATAACACCTTTACTAGGAAGATTTAGTGAATTACCTGCTTTGCTTAAAGAGAAGGGTATTAAACAATCTTCAGTAGATGGTATACTATTTGATTTTGGCTGCTCATCTATGCAATTGGATAATGGTGAGAGAGGCTTTTCTATTAGTAAAAATGGTCTTCTTGACATGAGAATGGACGCTGGTCGTGATCCCAATCAAATAACGGCCAGAGAGGTCCTAGCGACGGCCAATGAACAGGAACTATACAAGATATTTAAGGTATATGGGGAAGAGAAGAAGGCTGCAAAAATTGCCCAAACCATAATACAAGCAAGGTATATGATCAAAAATATTGACACAACTAAGGAATTGGTAGAGGTTGTGGATTCATGCTGTCCAAATGAATTTCGGTTGGATAAACTACAAAGGCCCCAATCGAATGCCACAAAAGTATTTCAAGCGCTACGTATATTTGTTAATAATGAACTCAACGAGTTGAATTATGGGATGGTGTTAGCAAAATATTACTTGAAGTTGAATGGTAGGCTAGTAACTATATGCTTTCACTCTTTGGAAGACACTATAGTGAAACGTCATATTGCTGGAAATATAGTCAATGAATCTGCAAATCCAGTTCCTTTACGATACCTAAACCCCCTTATAGTACAAGATAAGGATACAATCAATCAGTTCTTAGATACACCATGGAAAGCATTGAACAAGCACGTAGATATCCCAACTGATGATGAAATAGCTAGTAATCCAAGAAGTAGAAGTGCAAGATTAAGAGCAGCAATAAAAATCAAGTAGTTAATTTATTCTGTAGTTGTAGTAAATCTATGAAAAGGATTGTTGTTTACTTTTAGGTTAGCATGGCTCCCTATGTAAAACCTTTGAATTAATTGGCCATTTTTATATACTTACAATGACAAAAACAAACCTAAAAATACATAACACCCTCCACAAGAATAGTACTATATGTTTGCCATCAACTTTATGAAAAGAACCTCCTTTTTAGAGTTGGTCAGAGAAACAATTGATTTATTTCGACTCATTTATCTTACAGCTCAAATCTGATAGATTACCTTGTAATAAAATATTCATCAGACAAGACAACTAAATACAATTTTTAATTCTAGCTAAAATAAGGGTGATTATAATTATCTTATTCCACAGTAATTTATCCCTTTTTACTATCTTTATTATAAGCTACACATTCTAAGACAGGGTAACTACTTGCAAATACTATACAATCAAGTCTTAATTATTTTCAAGCATATTAGTCCTATAACTAACACAAGGAAATGCTGATAAAACTATTAACAATTTTGCACATAGAGATAGTATAATTGCATATTATTTTTTTCACCAAAAACAACACCACTTTATTGGAATGTGGTTAAATAAATTACTTATTACTCAATTCACATAGGTAGGTACATGTAGCAAAGAGGCAGTGTTACATTTGTTTGAAATTTCATACAGTCACTGACTTTACATACCAAAAAAAAATTGCAACTTTGTCAGAAAACTTTTTAATTTTTTTAGTAGCATTTGATTGGACTCTACATTAATGTTAAAATTTTTAAATGCTTCTTATTTACAAAGGTAAAATATTTATTACAGTGTTTGTTTGTTTTATTCAAACCACTTATTAAGACATTGGTACCGCCTTTGTTATTGACAGAACAATTTTACGTCAATTGTTAAATTATTATTTTATTTATAGATAACGTATATAACTCAAAAATGGCTCGATATATTCCGGTGTTCATAAAATAACTTTTAAACAGGCCAATATAACATTACCCTCACGTTTCTTACAATTTGTTTTGAGTATGTTCTCCCAATTAAATTCTTAAGTTAATGCACCGCATTGCTCTTAAAATGTATCACTTAATTATTTTGTCGACAATATATTGCCTGTAGAGCGATTACGCTGCTAATTCTTTTGAAAGTGGGAACACTAAAGTTAGAAATTGTTTATTGATGTATAATTAGAAATATCAGTCAAAATAATTTATATAATGCATTGTCAGCCGAAGTCTATTGACATATAATCTGAGTTACATCATGCCACAGACATGTAATCACTATATATCACTTAAAATATTGTACTGTAAGACCATCGGGCCATAATCATAACACAATAACCCATATTTCTCTCATTTGTCCCTTATACATGGTAAATGCTTAAGCGAAACAGCAATACTGAAATTTTGTTGCCAGTCTTAGGTTTGTAGGTGTGTGCAACATATGAATAGGTATTGTATGTTATTTTGTCAAGAATCACACCAAAGATTAAACGCTTGTAACGGTCTAAAGGTAAATACCTTTTTTTGTAACTATGACCAGTAAGTTAACTAATATTTCAAAATCTAAGAACACAATTGCATAACTGCGAGTCCTTCAAGTCGGCTTTTGGACTTGCGATGTACGATGTAGCTACAAAGTTAAATCTGGCAACAATTAAGTGTCAAATTGCTAGCCCGCTGGCATTTAATCCTGTTACGTCCGGTTGACAGATGAAAGGACATTAGCCTTAGCTCGGTCGGTGGCAGCTGCAGCAGCATCACGCATCTCCTTGAGGGTGTGTGTCACAGTGTGTTGCGGCACTTGGCGGGGGAACATATTGTGTAGTACATAGTTAAAGCCGTTTACCTGTGAGAATGAAGAATTATAATCATTTAGCAAACATTGAATGTGTCCTTTCTGCTTTAAGCAAAAATATCCTTATAGTCGTCTTATACAAATCATAGAACTCTCTCAATTATTGGAAATTGACAACAGTTCCAATGTTCAGATATCGATGGAGTTTAGTAAGATACAAATCATTCTCTCACAAATAAAGCATTTGTACTTACACTATAAGATAATAGCACCAACTTAATAAAAAAATGAGACTTTTTAAAAATATATTGTATCAACTAACCATTTGCGAAGCATTCTTTCGGAACCTGTCAACACCGAATGCACGAATTGCCCTCGAAAAGCCAAACACCTGTGAATCAACCCAGGCGGATCGGGTTGCTACTGTCTGTGATGCACCTGACGGCCTGTACTCTACTCTCTCCACCACACTCTATAAAACAGACGGAACATTCTTATTTACACAAAATAGTGTTTATTATATCACAAAATATAAGTTACAGCAGATGAAGTTATACACACATGGGCATTAAATGGACTTACCATTACTTTAGTGTAACCCAAGTTTCTGGTGTATGTGATAAGAACTTTCTTCTCAGGATCCACAACACTCTCCTCAATAATTTTCACTGATTTTGCATTAAAGAATCTGGAAGAGTAAATTGATTGTTAATGATCATTACAGGTTTCTTTTCGAAATATATCGTTTTAAATTTTAAACAAAACATTTTACTCAGCAACAATTCTAACCCGTATGTTGCAGCATAAATCACGATCTTGTTAGTGTTTTATTTAAATGTTTCTTAATCGCGTAAACTATAGACATTACTGGGTTAAGTTTTATTTTCTCTTCATTCAAAATTTAGGCAGGTATATTTTCATTAAATCAACAGTAAATTAAATTTTCATTAAATACTATTGTTATTTCAAAAAACTATATTTTACAATCAATCTTTGTTCATATTAATTCAATTATAAAACATTTTATTTAGAAGTACTTCACACCTCATATAATCGAATTATAAATTTCAAGGATATTGTTAAGAATTCCAAAGGCTTCTTTCCGCGTCTGCGGCCATTAAACAATTATATTTATCTCAAGTAAGGTTTAACTATTCAAGATAAAAATAATTTGACAACAATAAGCATGTGCAAATATAAAACATTTTGATTTAACGTTTCAGTACGACACTGAAGATTGTTTGTTTACATAATAATGACATTATCGAATTTGGACATGAACTCACAATATAAATCACCTTGAATAAAGGTCATATTCATCAATCAAAAACTTCAATAGCACTTATTTCAAGACTAATAAACAAAATCAGTAATGCATATCATTGTTTTTCGGGCTGATCGGCCAACGTGAGCGAAAATAGGTTCTCGACGTTTTGCCATCGAGAGTGGATGGCATCATCAAATATTGTTAGCTCCTCAATTGCTCTAAGAATTGAATCAAAATTCTTCAAGCAATCCCGAAATTTAAAATCAGTATTGAACTGTTTTTGTTAAATATCGTGACCTTGTAGCAAAATTAGTGTTTGGGCTGTCTAATACCTATTTAGCTGTTAGATAGTTTATCATCACTATTATTTCTAATTAAAAGGCCAACTGTATTGAAAAAAGTGTTTGTCGTTTTGATTTATTGTAAGTTTATGATTTTTATGTAGTTAAGTATGACTTTCAAAAAAATATACATATGTATTTTTTTTTAAATCTATATTATTTAGCATGAAGAACTATTGAATATAAAAGTAATGTTATAATTGTTTTACCTTTCACCCCATTTAGGCACTCGGTTGGTCTTTGTAAGCAATCTTTTTGTGTACAAGCAGCCATCCTTGACATATCTACTCCAGGTGTCTTCCGATAGAACATGTGTACTGTAATTTATAAAAATATTGACCATTCAATCACTATCTTCTACCATATACTACAGTTAAGTTAGTTTGAAGGACAGAATTAAGTAACTAGTGTTTTAATGAAAAATTATCACCATAAGTAAAATCCTATTTTCAATGTTTATTTTTCTGATTTATTTGGCTTCTAGTAAATTAGACTTAGGTAGCTTGTTAATCCAAAACAATTATTTCCCCATGATTAATTAAAGTTAATCTAGAGGAAAATAAATAAATTAAACACCAGCACATTACAAATATTTTTAAACACAATGTAATATAACAAAACATTAAGTATTTTGATATCATTAAGTTAAACATTAAGTTAGTTTATAAGAAATTAAATTATCACCTTTGTGGATTGGGGTATCTCTTCCAATATCCGCGCGCAACTTGGTCCCAGCTAAAGTTAAATACAATCGTGTTCTCAAAGTATCTGGCCATATCTACCACTTAAACCGGAATGAAGGATGTAAACAAAGAATGACCTCAGTTTGCCATACTTTGCGCGCGAACCTGCGAACGAAGTACACATTCACTGAATTTTAATTAATTATTGATAATCACTTTACAACACTGTTACATAAACGCGAAGCAGTATGTAGGTCATATAGTTTTTCTCCATAACTTTAGAAGTATGCTAACAAACATCTGACTTGAGTCACGTTCGGCGCCTCACAAAGCAAACTTTAAAATGATTTCGAATACCGATTAGGATCAGTCAACAACCTTCGGAAAACACATTTACATGTTTTGGTTATACAACATTTACTGATATAACACACGTGCATATAAAAGTTATATACAACCACTTAGATAAAAAAAAATACTAGAATAATCAATAGATAAATTACAGAAAATCGATGATAGCAATTTTTATAGCAAATGTTTTGCCGGAAAACTGAGTACGTTAAAATAAATACTTTTCGATGATGATAGATATTTTATTGACAACCACCACTTAACTTACAGTAACTTGCTATATCGCGCTATACCACGCTATTTCATAATTCGTTGATCGCACGATATCAATCCATAATCCATATTAGGATCGTGTTTTTGATAAATTTTGATAAAAGCTTTTCTTGAAAAGAAACCACACTGACAGCTGACATATTCCTATACTCGTTTTTGACAATTGTTCCACAGCTTAAAAATGTAAGTACGAATGTAGTGTTACGCTATAGATAACAATAAAAAATAATACTTAGGACACGTATCCCACAGGTTATATAAATGAGATTAAATTTTACTGTTCAAGTGTAGAAATTTTAAGACATGCTACGGCGTTTTATTGTCATTACCATATTTCATTACAACATACAAGTTCTATTTCAAAGAAAAATATTATGAATTAACCTTAGGTATTCGAGCAGCCATATACAATGCATTTTTATAAAGATTATTTGCAAAAAATGCGCAGGTGGACTCTTTGCAATGTTTACCTTATTCTGCACGAAGATATAGTGCCAAAGCTGAAACATTATATAAAATTAATTTATTACGCCGAGTTCAAAGATGGGTTCTACCACACCTATTACGGGGAGTTGAAGAAGGTTGTAAATAGCTATTCGTTTCACTGGATTGACGTTATGGACGAATCTATAAGGGTAGCAGATAAGCTTTATTACAATATTAACAGAGATAATCTTTTGGATCTAATGGAACGGACAATTCATATGCACAACGCAAAACAAGTGGACTTCGGAAGGAGTTTTTTGCCCGTCGAATCCGCTGAAGAGAAAAAAATTTATGAAGAGTTAGAAGTTATGTACAATCATTTCATGATAAATCTATTAAAGTTGAAAGAAAAGCTAAACGCGTTAGATACGCAGGAAAAAGTAGAAGAGTTCGCGAAGGAACATTTTCCACTCTCCCTTGAAAATAAGAACAGTATCTTTGCGTTTACCTACGAATATATCGCGTTAGCTTTGGCTAAGAATGTTTGTATTTATTATAATAGTTATAAATCTTAGATAAGATGTCGATCTTAAACAAACGGTCTCACGAGCATCACGTAGTCAATTAACATTCAACTAAGTAAATTTTACTAACATTGCGACTAGATATCGAATTTAACCTATTTTGATATAAAAAGACAATGATAATAAGGTACATATTTTTTTACTTACGTTTTGTTTTTGTAATGGCTAGAATAATCGGATCCGCGTCAGCTTGGAAGAAATATACAATCGTGTCCGCTCAAACCTGTCGAATATTCAAGAGGAATGCAACGCCAGCTTGACCAGTCTTCTCCATCAGCTGTACGACAAGAATAAAGAGCACATGACCATATTTAGACAGGATATTCGGTCGTCTTTGGAAATCGCAGAAGTAATTACTTTTAATATTCATAATTGGATAACTAAATACCTTTACTGTAGCAATCAGTGTTTCGTATAGCTGACGTATCCTAGATTTGAATCCCAACGAATCACGATGAAAACGTTACCAAAGTTAGTGTGCCCGAACCCGAATATCCAAAGCCAAAATAGGCCAACAGCGCATCTTGTGTAGATGTTATATGGCTGGGTTATTTTACCTTCCATTACGTGAAGCCCATGCTTGTCCTCCCCTATTATAAAAAAAAACACAAAGGCACACATATCCTTCGAAATTAACTTCCACCGTACATTCGTTGCCCCTACACGAATAGATTAGATTAAAGTATTGTCTGTAGTCTATGCCTTTGAAACAAGAAATATATTGGTTACCTTTTTTTAAATCTATTACTACGGCCCGAAACTATCACAAATGCGATATAAAGTTTACTTCGCATTTTAAACTGTGGAAGTGGTTTTTGTGGTGGAACTCTTTGATTAATATTTTTTTAGCCCATCGTCGAACCCCAAACCAGTAATACATAGTGTTAGACGAGTGTTCAGATCAGACATACCAGCTAGTGCATAAATGATATCCACATAAAATTATAGAATGTTTTATGCCATGTAAAGGTGCAACGGAGTATAACGATAATAAAAGATAGAATTGAGGACTCAAAACACGTGCCCACGGAACGCTTAAAGGAGGAGGTAAACTATTGGCGGGAAAAGGTCGCAGAGTATAAGATTATCTACGAGACTATAAGGAAACTCGATGGCGAAAGAGAAAGTTTGTCAGGAGCTGAAGTTATGTATCTCGAGTATGTAAATTGTTTTTGATATATTACTTATTATCTGGGACACGCCTTTAATCAGGTGCAGCCAAAGTTTCAGTTAATAATATGAGCCATGATTGTAGCATTGATTATTAGATTTACTACTACTACTATATTACCTAGCATTTACAATTTATAGTTGAAGTCCATTCCTATTTCAAAATCCGATCGAACCCCACGACCCTTTGATTATTACCATACTGCTACCAATAATAACCGGAATTTCCTTAATTTAAGTTAAGCTATTAAAGCACGAAGTAACAATTACGAATTTCACATATTTATAGGGTTCTAGAAAATCCTGAAATAAAATATGAGCCTTCAGACCCGTTAGGTACCGATGCGAGACACAAAATAGAACGACTTCACGAATTAAGAATGAATGCGGCAAAATCCTTATTTACTTTTTTCAGTGTTAAAGGTATAACTAACTTACATTAATAAGTTTTACTCTTTAAAAACATTAGGAAGATTTTTTGGGCGTATTACAAATTAAGCTATAGTTGGAATACATGATAAGACTTCGTACTTATAAATAGAAAAAAGTATTTTTTGGAAAATACTCTCTAAAATTAGCCTTCCCTTAGTCAATCACGAAGGCTGAACAGCTCGAATATCCAAATTTTAAAAAAGATGGACAGAAGGATGACACCGCCTGGGTTCGATTTCTCCCTGTGCCATCAATTTTAAGTCTCAAATTACTTTGTCAACACAATTCGATTATATTTTGTAAAGCTAATCTCTCCATCTCATTGTCTAGTTGAGGCTTATAATAAAAGAGGTCTATCTTCATTCTTTAGGGCCAGATAGGAAATTCTATAAGGACCAAATCGGAACGTACTACATGGACGACTACGGCCATCGTGTGTACTTCTTTAATTACGGTCTCAATATGTACCATACAGATTGTGTTGGCCGATATGTGAATGTAAGCGAACATTTGTCGTAAATTTGGAGAAAAAGAAATGTCTGTACTGACTGTTTCGAAATGTGTTTTAAATTTTATTTTATTTAAATTAAATTAAGTGCACGTGACCCCAAAGAATATAGTATTTAAATAAAAAATCTAGTACCAACCTGAAGACTGGAAGTAGAAGTAATTTCATCAAATGAATGTGTCCCGATTGTCGTCATTAAATAGATGGCGGTAGTCGTTAAAACCTAGCAACCAGCAGTGGCCTGGAATTAAACGCCCCCTAATATGCGAGCGACCTGTGTCTTGACCACATATAGGGTGAACCGATGTATTCTTATCTAGTCACTTATCATTTTGTCATTTTCTGTCCTCAAAACGATTTCTTAGTGTTTCAAATATATTTTAACAGCTGTATATACATTTTGACTAAACGTTGTTATAGTTACAGTTAAAGGAAAACGATCTTTATTTCTACGACACATACGGTCGATATACCGTTAAAAACGGCGAGAAGTTATACCAAATAGCGCCGTGTAGCAGCTTGTACAGATTAGAAAACGACATACACGTAAAAGTGACCCAAGACTGCGGCCACTCTGATGGATATAACAAAAATTGTATGATGGAAATCAAAGACCCGTCCATAGAAATATTGCCGGTGGCGAAAGGAATTGATATTAAAGGTGATTGAATCAGAAATATTTTTTTAAGATTATTGAAGGAATAAAATAATTCTTTTGTACATATTTTTTGGGTATCTTGTGCCGTTGTCGAAGCGAATCAATAATTCTCTCATTTCACTCTGTTTCATCACTTCTATTGGTTGCACGCTGATGTTTTATAGAATATAGCCTTCCTCAATAAATGATACAACGAGACCAGCAGTTACTGAGATTAGCGCGTTCTAACAAATAAACTCTTAAAGCTTTATAATATTAGTATAGATGAAGATGATCGATGAGTTAGCTGTTAGTGAGATCAGATCTAAGTATGTCCCTCCCGACAGGATTATTTTTATAAGATATATTATTTTCTCGTGATAAAATAAAATATATTTACAAAACTATGTATGATTATTAGAATCGTCAATTTCTTCTATTTGCATTTTTAGGAAAACTTGACACGGAAACGGTGAATTATCTGTGGAATAATTTCGGCCACATTTTGCCCGACGCCCTGCACGACGTGGCGAAGGCTCAGCCGAAGAATCCTATTCACTATTTGGCTCATAAAATCCTTTATCACAAGTAAGTTTCAACAGCACAGCTTTACATTTATTAGGCCCATGTCAATTTACTAAATAAACAAAAAACACTTTGTCACTACAAAAATAATACAGTAACAGACGTAGTTCCAAAAGTATGTAGCGAGAAACAGCGACCTTATTGCTAAAAAGCGATTTCTTCTAGACAACCTTGTACATCCAGATACAATAATAGTTGATAGTAAGGGTATCACAAACTATACGTTTATTCAATCTTCAAACCATCAGGACCTTAATCTATAGAGCCGGTATGTGTCAAATGCGCACAGAGAAATATTTTTGGTACACGACCTTACGATCAGAAGTTAGGTGCACAGATTACGTAATAATGATATATTTTAAAATTAGGTACAGGCGTACTAGCGCCGAAGTGGAAAAAGAAAAACAGAATGCGCATGAGTATCGCGAAGGAATATTTAGAAAGCGTAAAGGGGTAAGTATTCAAAGTTTTCAAATTTCGTCAAAATTACACTCGGACGGTGATAAAAACCAACGATGGTAATTATAAATATGTATGTTCAATTATTGTGTGCCCACAATAATTGAACATACATACTTGAAAGCAAATTTAAAATAATATAAATAAACTATGATTGGCCATCATTTTTTATGATAAAAACTTTGGCGTTCATTTGGTGGAAGGTGAGATACTTTAGCCATATTACAAAATAATGTGTCGACCTCTTTAGTTTGAAGGTCCATTGTTCTGAATGTCCTAACAGATGTGAAAACCTTTCGTGACCTGGATGATTTTCGGCACTTCCTCGACAATAACAAAATTATTTTAGAAATATAATCATCCTAGTAGGATTCGAACCCACGACTCGTTAATTACTGTAAAACATAATAATCTTAATTCAAGCGTACTTTTCCAGCGAGCAATGAAGCTGTCGAAGAGTTGGAAAGAGAAGCAAGTTAAACCGCGCAAACCAGAAGAGTCCGATGCCTCGTTAGAATGGTTCGCTTACAGCAGCCATGTCGCAAAACAGGAATTTATTAGAGCTTTAGAAAATTATAGTATTTAGAAAAATAATTGGTTTGTTTGTTTGTTTAAATTTATATTTTTTTACATATTTATATCAATCACCTAAAAATTGTTAGATTTAACATTAAATAGAAATCACTTGTTTTGAAACCTTATTCAATTTACCTGTGTATTATACCCATTGTGATGAAATTATTATTACAACAAAAAATAAAGTCGATCATATTGAAAGTATCTTTTTTCTTGTAATATTTCTTATGATGTGTTTGTATTTAATTGGGAATCAATTCTTCCGCCATAAGCAACCGGCCAATATTAATGAAATTGCAAATACGCTCGGAATCTATCAAGCCACATTACATTAAAAATTCTAATTCTTAATGTAATGTGGCTTAACCTTGTATAAATAAAATGTAACGACGTGTTAAGTACTTCAAGAATAAGTTGTTAAAATAAAAAGTCCACGCAAAGGTACGTACAGGTATTTATTTATTGTTCAAGCGTCTACTAGATATAACGAGACACACTTATCGGCTTTCGTCAGAAAGCGACATTATAAAAAAAAACAACCAGGAAAACTACCGCTAACGTTTCAGATGGACAAAAATTAAAAAGAAAAACCCTCTGCCCGAAATATTGTCTAAGCGTCCACAGAGTCAAAACTAAATCATTGCCTGATACAAGACTGGGGATTCAAGAACGCTTCTCGTCTCAGTAAGATACGCTAAAATTTAATTAACAATCCCATGACGCATAGACTATCATTCTTAATTCCAACTGTAAATGTTGCCATAATAGACTCATTTGAAACGAGACGAGCGCCAATTGGAAATACGAATGAGGAGAGACGTGCATATACAGTAGATACTTTCACTAATTCACATTTTAGAATCTAATGTTCCGCTCGAGCAGGTACAAAAGTATATTTTTATTTACACGCAAGAGGAAATATAAGGAAGGGAGTTATCTACAGGTCGGAAACGGTTCGAAACCGACATTTGACTGTTTCAATTTGCAATAGGTCACATTCTGATATGGTCGTTTAGTCTAGTGTTACTTCTAAATACAAAGCATACCGAAACATCGAGAGGAAAATCAAAAGCCAACATGATCCAATGCGCGATTTTATTAAGCTAAATTATATACGAAACATTTGGATTTGACTATGCAGTTTAATGTTATGTACACGTTTGCGCATATATGCTATAAAATTTTGAAACTCGTATAAAACATTTGAAAAAGCTAAGTAAATCGCCATAAAACTAAACCGAAACTCGATTTCTTGACATCGAACTGAGAACTGCGCTAAACGATAAGGAGTTTGACGTCTATTTCTTTATATATTTTTTATATACTTGAATATCTATATTACATCTAGTATTATGACATTTATGAACAAAGTCAATTATTCATTACAACAAAGGGCTAAACTACGAAATGAAAATAGAACGCAGCTAAATCGAAATAAAAGAAGTGCCGTCATAGAAAAATAAACGTACAATTTCTCGATGAGAACTTAAGTTTGTGCCACACGATTGATTAATTCGAATCGAAACCTTGCAACCCTGGAGAGCGACAGTCGATACTGACACGAGTATTAGAATAGCATACATACGAGGTATCCTTGGCCGCGATCGTCCGGGGTTGCCTCAAACAAATTCCGTAAGCTGAATCGAGCGGGGATTTTTACATAGCGACGACCGAACGACCAAAGTAACCGACGCGAGCAATGTTGCATTCACCACGACTATGTTCAGTGCAATGTTGCCAATACTAGAGTTTAGTGCGAATGCAATGTTGCCATAGTAACGGAGAGCGACACAAGTTCGTTGGTTATGTTACACGCTTTCGAAAACAACCGCGTACTTAGGAAATATAAAAACCATAGACATAGCGAAGAGACTGAGCAAAAACCTGTCTATTCGAAATCGAAGAAGAGGACAACTATAGAGCGCGATCGTGGCGTCTCGCTCACACCGCTCAGTCCGTTCTATACAGCTATGGAAACATTGAAAGTACATTAAAAAACAAGAGAAACTAGGAAACGATGAGGTGCCAAAGTTCCGTACAACACTATTTTGATATTGTCTATATCGAATCAGTTGGGTCCGATCGACTCGGCGATGTCCGCCTGGCAGTCGAAAGTCTCCGAGCTGTCCACGTGCTCCGGATAGTACTCCCTGTAGATTTTGTCCAACAACCCTTGCCTGGAAAGTATTTTAACAATAATGAGACTGAAAATTCATCAATATCTGTCCGGTATAATTAATAATATACATATTGTCCGCGTAGAATTATTATTTTAAGCACCAAGCTGTTAAGTGTTACCCACGACGGTGTTTACGTCCTTACGTTACTGTCGCGGACACTTTCTTAGTCAATTTAAAAAGTACTCATTCTTTATCAATGTTTTTTGGATATTTTAAACCGTTTTCGCAGCGTACGCTACGGAAACTCTCAAAGATGAATGATTTTCTTGATTTATTCACATTTCCAGTGGAGTGGGTTTCTTGCACTTATTGGTCGCATTGTGATGCCTTATAGCCTAAAGAAAAATTTTCATTTTGAACCTGTGCTTGGTTTAGCGCGTTCAAACAAACTCTTTGGCTATATAATGTTAGCATAGATGTGATATACTAACTTGGCAGCCAGTCCTCCTCCAGGGGGCAAGCCCGGGATGTTCTGCTGCAGCAGCTGCTTCAGCACGAGCGAGAACCGCGAGGAGGGGTCGTCTTGCTCCTCGCCAGTAACGTTGCTCTCGATCAAGGCTGCAATTGAGATGAACACCGGTTAGGTACGGGTATTCTGTATAGTATCGACTATTCAAAATTACGTTTCAAAAACGTATATACATGAAATACGGTGGATTATCGCAGACGTAACAAGATATAACTAGACTTGACATTACGTGAACCACGTTCGAAGTAAAGGTAAACCGTTAAACCTAAGCTAAATCTGCGGCTTAAGGCTGTGTCAAGGTCAACGAAAAAGGTGAACTCTCGTGACATTGAGTTACTTTAGTCCAATTAAACATTTCTTTAAGAATAACTCTCATAACGACAACAACTTCAATACATAGCCGACGTGGCTATTGTAACATTTGAAACTAGATTCTTCTTTCGACAGATGTTTGAAATGCGAAATATATTAGTTTACTTCATTTTAATATAACTGCAGCCGTAACGACGACATTCGGAAACGTTCGAAGTAAAGGTAACCCGTTAAACCTGTATATGGGGGTTAAGGCCGGGCAAGGGCAAAGAAAAGGAATCTCGTAATTATTTAGTAATAAACATTCGTTTAACTCTCATAAGACAACCGTTAACATAGAGGCTTTTGAACATTTGAAATAGAGTACTTCTTTCGAAGTGTGGTGCGAAACAAGTGTATTCATTTAATATAACGGCAGCCCGACGATTCGCGTCCACCCGAACCGACCGAAACCGTTAAAGGGCTTATTGTAATGAAACCTGCTAAAAAGTTTTTGGTTATGGAAACGAGCGAAAAGAAAACGAGCAAAGTGTTTGTCTTCTCAGTTCAAATAGATTGGTTAAGCGCGCTTCAAGCCACATCCATGCAACAATGTCATGCAAACACAGATTATAATTTCGTGAAACGTGCAATCGATAGCTCGGCTAGATTAAGCGTCACAATTGATCTCGTAAGGCTTCATTAGCATGGCCACAGACCACAGAAAGTGTCGCGTCGCCACACTGACCACACGTTCATTGCTTTAACCCCGCGTCTCACGATCCCCGCCAATTTGAAATCAACTCACAAAAGGGGATGAGGTCCAAAGCAATGAAACTATGCGTTCGGTTTCAAACAATTTAATAACGGCAAAATACATTTCTCCATTGTATCGATAAGATCACAAACGGTTCACGAATGAACGGTGTACATTTGTAGTAACTACAGAGGGAAATATCTCTTAAAACTATATATCAAGGTCACTTATTTATCCAAAAAGGATCTTACACAATAGAAATATATTAAAGCACATATTTTTAATTGATAATTGCTATATTTAAAAGTATTGGTCAACATTACGCTACAGTGTCTGACATCTATAAACGCAACAAGTAACAAAAATATACGTCGGATTCTCTAAATAAATATGGTAACATTATTGAGGTTACATTGAAATCAATCCACTTCATAGAAAAAATATATTAATCTAAATATAGTACATCATATGAAACTAACAAAATATATTATTTAGCACGAGAAAAACATCTAGTAACTACTTGTACATCAGATAGTATTAATTGACTATTGTAATAATTGCAGTTTATTTATATTTTATTCATCCAACTATGTTTATGTAAATGGCTATAATATTCTGAGTACTTATTACCTATTTTGACAAAATAAAATTCCTGGAGATTTAAATAGTGTCATCTAACTAACTTCTATAATAAAAAATACATGTTTACAAGACCTAATCAATAATTACCTAAGGTATTAAAATTAGCAGACTATTTTAATCTTGAAAATGATAACGATAAGTGCAAATGTAAAGATCGTTAGGAAATCGTCTGGTAATTTTGGCATACACTGATTCTATAGTATTTCTAGAACTGTCTGGCTTATATTATTTCAGTTTTACTCTTTCTCCGAAAGCCGTTTTTTTACTCTGCGTAGTAAACGAAATATGAGCTATTATATTGAAACATTATGTCTGTGAATCATGCGAGAAGCATAATATTACATGCGATCAACTTTTTACTACCTTTTAGCACACTAGACGTGGGGCCAGGGAACGAACTAAAATATACTTAACATACTTGCGTGAGGTATTTAAAAGTTATATGTTTACATCTCTCTAACTTTGAAGTATTTAAGTCGCTTTTGTGTATTATAATTTCTTGGCACATTTGGAAATAACAGCGCCACTCAATTACGTATGTCTAAGAATTTAACCATCAAATTAAAATCGATCACCCTATTTTAATATGAACCGTGAAAAGCCGTTTATTGTGAATAGGCGAAGTAGAATTATGTTATATAAACGTAATTTATCATACAAGTACTTGCCAGATAGGCCAGGGAATAATAAATAACTTAACATAATTCTTAAGTTTGGTTCGTTATTGTCAAAATGAAGTTGATATAAAAACCACAATTTATGTATTTATATGGTACACAAAATGAGGTATTCTGTCTTTATATATTTGGCACTAATTACGGAATGTATGAAACCTTTGAAATTAACGATAACGACAAATAGGATAAATAAAGGCGCTTGCGGTAACTGACTTAAATCGAGCACCTAGCCACTTGCAAATCGGATCACACATAAATAAGACTGTCTTCGCGAAATCGAAAGGTCAGTGCAATTGCTAAAAGATATACTAATGGCCTAAGGACGTATAAGATGGGGTATATTATATATGTATATAATATATTTAATAGCATTCATATTTTTCCCTTTCGCAAACGCTAAGGGCAAAACAAGGTGAAATTTTCCTTAATTCAAAAATCAAAAATCCGCACGGAAAACCACGGCGCCCAGTTAGTGTTATTATACGCTTGTGTTTAGATCAAGCGTGCATTGTTTGAGTGCATTAGGAAGCATTAAAGTTTATCAGCAAATATTGAAACGATAAGATTTATTTATTCACCTACTATCGACAAGAAATTCAATGATCACTACGCGCATATCAATATGCGCTATTTTAAAAATATACGCTACATATAATAATGGTTTGCACCTAGATAGCGTCAACCGCTACTTACACAGCATCGTGTTAAGGTGAAAGCATATTTGTCCGCACGCATCTATCGCATTTCTTGATATCCCCGAAATTTGCGTCAGAATGCGGCGCGTACAGTTCTCTCCAAACTTCGTGGCCGGGCTGAAGATAGCGCGACCACCATCTTGCGCATGGTAATGTCAATTTTAAGCAAAAAATCGAGTCGCCTCGCATCCGCTTTGGCACAACCGATACCTGCTGTTTGCGTTCTGCGCAACCATCCACGCTAATTCCAGCCCGGCCAAAAAGTTTGGAGAGAACTGTACGGTGACCTTATTGCATTCAACGCAAGCTAAAATGCGGTGTGTCGCTGACAATTGTGCGATCACCTTAAAGTCTAAAATGTGTAGCCATCCATGGATTTTAGTAAAAGTTATTTATTTTTATTAAATATAATGTCGGTATTAGTATCGGTGTAGAAAATCATAATTATCGCTAATTCTGGTGAATTGAACACATTTCATTCGGATATCCTTGATGATTGTATATACAAGTGTACTGTTGGCATTTTGAATAAGTCTAGGTATGTATTTGTGGATTTTAGAATATACAACCCTAAATGAGTAGTACTCAACACACTATATTAATTGATGAGAATTGAAGTTCTCACTATATTAAGTAAAATTTTAACTACGTAAGTAGAAGGTGGTAAGGTTTGAAACATACACTAGGGTAAATACATTGATAGAAAATGTATTTTAATTAAATTCGGTCTTGATGTAATTGTTTTAAAAAAAAACTGAGTTGGCAATTTCTACTTCTTTCTTATTTATAAAAATCTATTTATTTAGTGGGCGAGACTTGAACCAGCGTCCACAGCGTTTCATATTGCATCTGTTCCAACCAATTGAGCAACCGGGATTTTTTCAAACTATTGCTATACGCACCTCTCGCGTAATTTTATCTAAATATAATCTTTAATTTATTTAATGTCTCATCACACCGAGTAAAGTATACTTAAAAAATTTCAAATGCAATAGAAATTCGTGTAAATAATATGTACTATTCTGTTTCAAATACAAATATTGTACTCTTTTGGCTTGAACAAGTGTAAATAAATTATAAGTAATTTTTAACTGTAATAAATAAACTTTGCATAGCTGCCATCTTTAAACATTACGATTTTTTCGAAGAGTTCAAGGAGTATTTTGTATTATGAGATTAACTTTTCTAGTCTAATGCATTCCCAAGGCTGAGTTTTATGCTAGGATAGGGGGTTAATAGGACACTGTTTCTCCGATGGTAAATAACCTTAGCAGAGGTAAATGCCCATTTTAGGCTACTGACAGATAATCAACATGCGTAATAACATATCTGTATACTTGTAATAAAGTTGCTTTTACACCAAGTTTTCTTGGAACATCTATCTCATAATTATGATTTATGTATTGGTTGTCAAGTAGATTATCTTTGATATTGTCTTTTAATCACATTTGAAAATATCCCTAAACTTGTGAAGTATTTTTAGATATACTCAGAAATATATCTAAACTAATTTACCAATATGAGTTTAGCTATGGCCTATGACCAGCACTTTGTCATTAACGGTGAATCATTATGATCATTGCATTGATAACGTCGATCATCGCGTAATCAAATAAAAAGTACTTTTACTACAATTTTACCTGACTGAGCCCTGTTTTCCGTATTTACCATCCTTTTCATTTATATAATATTTTTAGTTTTTCTTAAAGTGTACACACGTAATGTTAAATTTACTTCTTAAAGAATCACAAGTGAAAACCGGGAGCTTTCCTCGACTTTTCTTTGTCTTTGTCATTTAGCAGAGTAATACCCCGAAAAGTTGCATCTTAACCCCCAAATATAAGTCTAAACTCAAGATCCCCTGTTGTCCCCTTACTACAGTCCCCGAGGCCCATCACGCGTTCGCATCGTCACTACCCTGTCCGTCAGTTTGTCCGTCCGTACGCTTCTTTGGCGCCTGACACGCATGCAGTAGTGAGTGGTAACAACCTGTGAGCCTTTGCCGCAGCGTCTCGTCCAGCTCGCGGTCAGCCCTCTGCGCCTCGGGGTCCGGCTTCGGCGCGGCAGGGAACACCACCAGCACGATGCTCATGTTGTCTTTGCTGCCCTGGAAATTCACCAACCCGGTTATATCAACTGTGCAAATATACGTTTCATATAAGTTTTAAAATTATGACATGGTAGACAGCATTTCTTAATCTATACTAATAATAAGCTGAATAGTTTGTTTGTTTGAATGCGCTTATCTCAGGAACTAATGGTTCGAATTGAAAAATTCTTCTTGGACCATCAACGCAGGCTTTAGGCAAACATCAGGCTGCGGCCAATAGGAGAGAAGAGACAGGGGAAAATATGAAAAAAAACTGTGTGTTTAGCAAAACGTATGCAACATCATATGTGTATATTTTAAGATTTACTCAAAAGAACCGTCTTTATCGAAATCAAATTCCATAGAAAATAATGTTTGTTAGTTCAGCTACTCATACTCTATTTTCTCTTAACGTTTTGATAAAACCAATACCATCAGTAGACAACGGCATTGTAAGTGGCAATCAGTACCTTTTGTCGTGCAGACAACTACTGACACAATTTCTATTGGCTGAAGAAAGTATGTGGGCCGCATAAAAGGGGTGTAAGTTATTCTAATTTCCTTTTACCGTGTGGGCGGGAGCATTTAACTAGTTGCTTGCGAGTTGTGCGCTCGGTAAATATAAATTATATATGATGTCACTTTTAAATGTCATACGAGTTTAAATATAGTATGTCGATAGTTTAAAAATTCACGTAAATTAAAAAGCAATAAAGTTAAAGATATATCAATCTCTGAATGTTTCAAATTACAATAAAAAATCTATTACCATAAAAAACATTAACTGTAAAAGTTCAATAAAATCTTGTCTTAAATGTATTTTTAATGAGAATTTACGCTGTACAGCAAAAGAAAATGAAACTTAATGCAACATTTAAATTACACAGAGTGAGGAGTGCATAACAGAGGATAAATTTGATAATCACAGATGGAATAACAGCAACAATTTGTAGTGAAGCACAGAGGCTGTAATCGTGGGTTTGTATGATTTCCTATCAATTTTTTAAAATGTAAATTTAAATAAAATAACATTTATATAAGCTCTCAATTCAATCAATTAGAAAGAAGTATAATGTTTCAAGCATAGATGCTACCAGGAAACTGTTTTTTTTTTCAACAATTTATGTACCACACTCTTATGCGCCCACCCACATTGAATTACAAGTATATATATTGGATGATGAGTTGTTTGAATATTGTTAGCCACATATTTTAAGCGTTCTCAAGGTTTATAAAATCAGTCTTCTATAGTGTAGTTGAAGAGATGGTTTGCAATTATATTCTTCTTTCGGACTCTCTATTTCAACAATTATATGAAACCTGTGATACAAGTGTTTTCGCAAACCCTACACCCAACATATAAAGCTGATATAAATGAAAGCAGATGTTAAAATTAGCAAGCTATACTTAGTGCACACCTCATGCCTATATCTAGCTGTTTAAATGAAACCTTATATGAAAATACATAATAAGATTGCAATAGTTTAATTCAATAAAAAATCTTGATTGTTCTCTGATAGTTAACGTTTTTCAAAGATATTAAGTTAAGCGGACGTATAAATTACAATTAAAATATAAAATACTGGCAACATGCAATCTAATGACATCATTATACTGTTAATGATTTAACTCACTTCATACAGAGTTTAAAGAAGGTTAAATATATCAGGCTTATTTGTCCTTATACAACAAATAATACCAATGATAATAATTAACAAGTTAAAATTGGATAATTATCACATAATACAAGTAAGACAATGGTATGCTGATATTATTATAACTGAAACAGTTATAAAATCTAATACAAACACAATGCAGACTCCGACAAAGAAGAAAATGCAAATATGTAACTTATCCCTTTCCTTATCTATATTTGAATTCCCTAGTATCTGTTATGATGAAGTTTAGATTTTTACATCATCATTATTTCTTTTTAGGTCTATGTCATTAGTTATGATTATATACTGCGAGATAAGATTAGATTTTGGAGGCACATTTTTTTGCATCTTGCATTTGTTGAAGGAATTAAAACTCTAACAAAGGCCTATAAGTAATCTCATTAATAAGAGTTGTCTTGCTGAAACATATGGAGCTATACTTGTGAGAATCTTCAGTTCCAAGCAATCTTAAGCTTTCTCTGATATAAGCAAACTATCCATATCAATAGTTATATTAATAACATTATACTAAGGTTAAGAGTAGACAAATATAATTACGTTATATAACAAGGGTAGATCATAGCTCTACGTAAATAGATTTATTTATTAATATTCAGTATGAAAATATATGTATGCATGATTCTTTTTGTCTACTATTTATTAATAATTAAACAACTATCTTAAACGAATTGAATACTATCTTTAATGGATTGAAGTTCTACAACAACAAGCTGAACAATAGACAAAATTAAATACCTTATACAGACAGGTGTCAATGACTTGGTTGGTAATAGCCACAAGGTCATCAGTCAACTGCAGAAGAGAGTGTACATAGGCACACAGCGCTTCATTGCTCATGACATCCCACACTCCATCGCAGGCCAGCACAAGGAATTCATCCTCCGACTCCAAACGCTCATGAACTGACACTTCTGGTTCTGGAGATACCAACTGCTCGCAGGGCCCGCGATCTAACACCTTCTTGTACTCATAGTCTCCCAAGGCTCGAGACACGGCCAAGCTACCGTTAACTCGCTGGATCATTACAGTCCCCCCGGCTTGAACTATACGTGACTTTTCAGCGGGTAACTCCGGTTTGTGATCGCAAGTCGCAAATATTGGAGCCCCATTCCTCGCCAACACCGCTCGGGAGTCTCCGCAATTCGCAATGTATATCTGTTTTGGCGATACGAACGCGCATACAGCCGTCGAGCCCGACTTCTCGACGCCGTTCGATAGCTCCGGCAATTCCCTCATTTTCTTGTCGAGATCCAGGAAACCGGCGCGTATCGCTTCCACTATGTCATCCCGCCTGAATTCCTCCGTTTGCAGGATACATTCCAGCAGATTCTCCGCGCAATGTGCGGACACCCGGGCACCCGCGTGGCCGTCGAATACTGCGAAATAGGACCAGTCCGATAGTGTTCCGTTCAGTGTGAGCTGCGCGTGATGGGCATCTTCCATCTCCACGCGCCAGCCTTGCATAGACGCCACGCCATAGCGGAGACCGTTACCTTCTCCGCTCTCATTGTATTTCTTAGTTTCAGGTTTGTTTAAAAAAGCCCCCATACTGTTTCCCTCTTTATCGGTTCACTAATCGCACATACTTCCTGCACCATCAGGCACTCGAGCCAAATTCACGAACCACGTAAAAGGAAAAGAAAAGCATCACTAAACCTAAAAGATATGGTCTTGTCTCACAGGAACTGTCCTCACCGAGATGTACCGTCCGTGACAAAACGGCTATTGTTTTCAAAGCGAAGCTAAATAAAGCTGTAAAAGTAGCTTCTACGTATTTGGATTATTGCAAATGTGTTGCGTAGCACTCGATGACAAATCGTCCTCTCTACGAAATCGTAAAATGAAAAAGCAACTCAAAAGAATGAACGGCGGACATAAATAGTAATTGTCTATGGTTGAAATATCAATCAAAGAATATGGTTACTTCAAGCGTCAATGAAATGATAGATTAGCTAAAAAAGGTATATATATGTTTCTCTTAAGGATATTTATATAGCTTACTAGAAGACAATTAAATAAATAACTTGTATCTATAACATCATACAACAATTTTCTATCTTTTAACAATTTTTAAAGTAACTTTTAAAACTAATTGTCTATGTTATAGGCCGCGTACTCATTTTTTAGATCTCAACAGAGTATAAATATTCGGAACATTAGACGAAATAAAATACAGTGAATAATATAGTCTATGGCCCACGCTTACGTAACTCATCCTTAGTGAGACTATATAGTATATATTCCGATCGTAGGTATATAAACTAAGATAAGTATTCTTTGTTAGTATACTCTATATTTTGCTGCCTACAATTAGTTCAATATTATTGACAGTTGACAATTGACAACTTGCGAAAAATTTAAAAATCATATAATTACATTTTAAAAGATATTTTTTTTATATTTTGATGATATTGATATTATTTTAAGAAGTCTCTTAATATAATAAATAAATGTTATCATCAAGGATTTTTTTGAATGTTAAATACATCAAACAAATATAATGAAGTAAAGATGAGCGTCTTCGGCATATAACTTTTATCTTATACATATTTTATACTGTAATAATTAAGTAAAAACATGTACAGGAGTGCATGCTTAAGATTGTAAGTGAAACCCTATTTATTTTTCTTTCTGCTAACAAAGTTAACTTTCCTATAAATTTAATTTACGTATTTTAGGTTATCTTTGAAATTTATTAAAGAAAGTTCTCACCGCTGTGAACCTTACAAATTGATAAATGATGCCGTTAAGAATGCAAGAACCCTGTCTTTATCGGCTTTAAACTATAAGAAAAGAAAAAGTCCTGAAGAGAGGGTAAATATTTTTAGCTATTATATTATTTATTTTTAGCTTTAAACACAAATGAATGTTATAAAGAGGTTTTACTACTTATAATGTTTTCGTAATATCTTAATTTTGAAATAAGCTAAAGTAGCTATTCTTTCAAATATTTGTCAAGTTATCTGCTGCGAATTGATTTGTAAAATTTTCAGTCAACATGATATTATATTATGTAAAATATTTATTAATGACAATACTTTGTAAATATTATATTCAGGCAGTAGAAAACCAAGGACGCAGAGTCATTAGATATGCACCAAAGGCAGGCACAGAAGTAGTGGGAATCTGGAGAAATATGACGGTGCAGGAAATCGCAGATGTCCTTAAAAAAGATGTGGGTTAGTCTCGACATGTGATCATATTTTAGCTCTCAATTTCAAAGGCTATTCTTTTGGAAGTTTTGAAGCTTTTTTGTGGATTTGAAAACAACTCTTATAATGTTAACTTGTGTGTTTGTTAGTGCATCAGTAAGAAACAAGACTAATTTGTTTAAAATTTATTATTAAGACATTCAATCGTCTTACAAAATGTATGCCCTAGGAAACATTTTATTTTCTTTTGGTGACAGTCCACAGTACAAGTTATATTAATACACAATACTATATAATTATTGCCTGATGCAATATTCTACAAACATTTTTCATTATGGAATCCATAATATTTCACAGATCATGTCTTCAAGGCCTTAGAATTTGCTGACAAAGACTCCGAAGTGGTATATACACGAAACACAGTTATCCACAACCCACAGATAGTCAGAGATGTGGTCAAGATATCAGGTTGCAGATTCAAGATTATTGCCAAACCTGAAGATAGAATTGAAGAGGAGGAAGTATGATAGATTTCATTTGAATCTGAAAAGTTTTCTAGCCATGATTAATTAATAGATCAGTATATTATCTCAACTAGATTACATTTGACATATCATAATAATTAACATTCAACTTCAACATTTTTTAAAGCTTTTCCAATAAACCTTGAAAACTTTATAGATGGATGCTGGTAGAGTCTGTTTATGTTATTTATTTTTAGTTTATATAATACCATCATGTGCAATAATATATATAAAAATATAGGTTGAATTAATTTTAAAGTAGCAACATCAATCTCTGCGGATGACCTGGCAGAATAAGCTCTGCCTGTCTCCTTGACATTTTTCTAATCCAAATAAAATTTTAATCAAGTGTCATAGTTAGTTAAACTGATTTTTATGCAACATTATATATAATTTTAATTATTTACGTCCGTGTTACTCCCATGTCTGACATAGAACAAAGATGCAATGCCTGCGCCACCCGCCCCTCCAGAGGCCCTTCGCCCTCGTCCCCCCGTCGTTTGCGTTATGGGACATGTGGACCATGGGAAAACTACCCTCTTAGATGCTCTGAGAGATACTTCGGTGGTAGACACTGAATTTGGTGGTATCACACAACATATTGGTGCTTTTGAAGGTGAGAAAAATAGTAGCAGTTTAAACAGATGCTATAATTAAAAATAGGTCAACTATTTCAACCTGAAAGGATTTTTCAAAAAAAAACATTATTTACAGTTCAGCTGTCTTCGGGTGACAAGGTAACATTCCTAGATACACCTGGTCATGCAGCGTTCAGTGCTATGAGGTCTCGGGGTGCCCAAGCCACGGATATCGTGGTGTTGGTGGTGGCCGCTGATGACGGTGTTATGGAGCAGACGGTTCAGTCTATACGCATGGCTAGAGCGGCTAATGGTGAGATGATTTAAAAATGTAAAGTGGCGTATTATGCGAGAAATCGTATTAAACAGGTTTTACTTTATAACACTACAATACTTAACGTATTTATGACCATCATAACACACAAAGTAAAATAAAATATTTCTTTCATTATTTTCAGTTCCAATATTGGTGGCCATCAACAAAGTGGATAAGCCAGGTGTAAACATTGTAGGTAGGCCTCTTGTCAGCTTCCATCTATATATACTCGTCGTCCACGACATATCTAATATTTCACTTAATTCCAGGAGCGTACAATGAAATCCCTAGCGCAACACGGCGTCGTCTGTGAGGCTTTAGGAGGTGATGTCCAGGCGATAGCCGTGTCCGCTCTGAAGAAACTTCACTTGGATACGCTGGTAGAAGCCCTGACGCTACAAGCGCAGTTAATGGACCTACGTGCTGACCCTGGAGACTACGTGGAAGGTGTTGTGATTGAAAGCCAAGTGGATCCAAGAACTGGGTATGTAGAATTGATGCAGGAATAAATAAAATAATAATTATCTAGATTGCAGTAAAGCATATTATATTTGTATATTCTATATTTTGTAGGAAACAAGCAACCGTGTTAGTGCAGCGTGGTACATTACGACGGGGCTGTGTGATTGTCGCTGGCACTGGGTGGGGAGAAAGTAAGGTTTAAAAAATTACCTTTATATAACAAAACAATAATTTTATGAGATGATTCTTGTAAACTGGTGAGGAGTTTTAGGTGGTATTTAGTAGGTTTATTTGAATTAATATTAAATTTTTATAAGAAGAGTTAGTTAGCGAAGTATTCATAATAAAATTAAATATAAATAGCTGTATCAGCGACTCCGTCCGCAAAAAAAAAGTTATTTGTGACATCCAAATTTGTTTTTGCAAACCTCCTATTCATCCTCTTCGCTCATATTAGTCACATTGCAATGTGTAGTATAGCTTTTCTCGATTACTACTCTATCCATCACAAAAATATTTTTTTTTATTTGAACCAGTCGTTCCTGATATAAGCGTGTTCAAACAAACAAACGAACTCTTCAGCTTTATATATTAGTATAGATTAAGCAGTAAATTCTTTCCTACTGGCCTAATTAAATTAAATATTTTAACAACATATTATTGTATAGAACAACATTTGACATTTCGACGGTCTAAGGTTTAATGGCAGCAGCGTGTGGCTAATAACAGATTGTTGGTTCTTTCCTCACCAGGTCTAATGATAAGAAACAATTCCTAATTATTCTGAGAAACATTGGATTTTAATCAATTGTGTAAGGCTTTCACGGCCATCGTTCAGCATATCAGCATATTAAGAATAAAATAATTCTTCGAGCAATCGAGGAGTCAAACATCTGATGATGCCGTCCATACGTGACTGCGAAACGTCGAGAACCTCTTCTCGCTCACATTGGCCGAACAGCCCGAAAGATATATTGGATTTTGTCTAGATATCTGGCGGTAGAAATCCAAATTTCTTTCGCGTCGCGAACCACTGTCTGAAGCGGTTTCGATTTCAGTCTGTAGATTTCCAAATGCAAAAACACATTGTGTTAGATGTTATATGACTGAGGTATTTCACCTACTATATCGAGTGAACTCCACACTTGTCCTCTAATTTGAAAAAAAATTTAGACCAATATTAATCCATTATACTTTAATTATTCCATATACCTGAAACTACATTAACCAGAATTTATCAAATATAGGTTCGAATGCTCAAAACTGCTGAAGGTGGCTCTGTAGAAGAAGCCGGTCCGTCAGCCCCCGTATCTGTTCTGGGATGGCGCGAATTGCCCGCTGCAGGAGACCTTGTACTAGAAGTACCGTCAGAGGTCAGTAGGCTTAGTTTTTGAAAACTACTTTCAGGTTGAAGGAAATAATGGAAATGAATGAAAGGATAACAATTTTATGTGAGTATTAGATGTGGTTAGGGTATTTTGTCTCCCACCTAGTGAACCTCTTGTTTGTCCTCCTCTGTATTAAACAAAAGGAAATTTAAATTTCTCGTTAAAACTTTCAGAAAAGAGCTAACGAAGTGATGCGCTGGCGTCACAGCCAGCGCATGAAGGAGAAGCAGGCTGAGGACCTGGAAGTCATCACGGCGAAGGAAGCGGAGCACAAAGCGGTCTACAAGCAGCAGCTGCAGCAGAAGCGAGCAATCGGTCGCTTCCGGGTGAAGCCGAAGGGACCGCGCGACAAGATGATACAGCACGACGACCATCCCACGCTCAGTGTCATCGTCAAAGGTAGGAGAAAATGATGCTTTTGACGTTCTTATAAATCTCGAATAAAATCTCGTTTCGAATCCGAAAAAACTTAACAAAACTTGCTATACTGAAACGATTAATAGATATGCAAGACTGATAAAGTTCTTATCTATAAATAAAATCGATCAGTGCAATGGACGTAGAAATGTATTCGCCACCATTTGTGCAGGTGACGTGGACGGCTCCGTGGAGGCAATTCTAGACATTTTGGAGACGTATGATGAACATCAAACCGTGCGATTGGACCTCGTCCACTTTGGAGTGGGACAAGTTACTCACAACGACCTGGAGGTAAAAGGAGAGATACAAAGGATCCATTTTCTGCTTACTTTTATTGTTACTTACCCCTTTATATGCCCTCGCCGGTCGCATAAAAGAACTTTTTAAAAAGCAGAAAAGCGCCAAGTAAATACATACATAACTGACTTACTAGGCTGCACGAAATTACGAGGTCTCGTCTTCGATTCCTTGTTAGGACCTGTCAACCCACACTGAAACATCATAGTGGGTTTAAGAACTGAAAGCATCTCTTATGCGAAAGAAAAACTGTGTCCAGCTGTGGATGGGGATTTAATTGGGTTAAAATTAAATATATTCTTTATAGATAGCGCAAGCGTTCAACGCGGTAATATTCGCTTTCAACGTCGACTTGCCCCCCCCCTCTAGCGGTGGAAGCGAAGAACAGCAAAATAGACGTGAAACGGCACAACGTTATCTATAAGCTGGTGGATGAAATCAAAACGCTGATTAACGAAAAGATACCTTCCTCTCAGGAGGAAGAACTCATTGGTAAGTAAAGATATTGTTTTAAGTAATTTACTTAACACACGGGACACACGCGTCTGTTATTTTGTCCTTATTATCTCTATTGGTAATTGTTGTAGCTTTGCATATTTAATTGTAATTAAATAAAGATTTTAAGCCATTGTAAACCCTAATAAATGCATAAATTGTAAATTATATCAAAAAGATGTTAAATATGTATAACATAATATTCAATTAATTTTATTTTTTAAGTCAAAGAAAGCCAATTATCGAGAGTTTTATATTCATACTCCGTTTTATTTATTTATTTATATTTAGATTAGATTTGAAAGACCCTGGATTTACATTAAATATATCATGTGCGCTAGTTACTGCTAGGAAATTATTCAACAAACGAATAGTACTTTGTGTTGGAGCCATGTAAGCCAACTGCGTTTTGTTACATTCCAGGTGAAGCGAAGGTCCTCCAGCAATTCCTGGTCTCGGAAGGCAGAAAGAAGGTGCCAGTGGCCGGGTGTCGTTGCACCAAAGGGACGTTGCAGAGACAAGCGTTATACAAAGTTATACGGAATGACCAAGTCGTTTACCAAGGTATGAAAATATAAATAAAAATAGATGACATACCATCACTGTATAAGTAAGTTAAGTGTCTCTTTCAATTCGATTTTTTTTTAAATATAACTATTGATTAGAATCATGCAGGACGCAGTGGGGGTCGAACCTACGGCTTGTTGATTATTAGCCACACTTTAGCTATAAGTAGCAGCACGGATCTTTAGCGCTGAACGAATCCTGCTCAGAAGTAAAAAATAAGGTATCAAAGGGACGCAGGCGGGCGCGGGGCGAGTGAACGTCATGTGCGCTAGCGTTGATTGGTTCCCCAGCCGTGTTGTCTTTCTCGAGTAGTCAACTTTTCCAATCAATTACGTGCGCGATTGTACAGATGCGCAACTTTATTCGTTAAGCGCTAAACATCCGTGCCGCGACCTATACCATAAGACCAACAAGCCTGTCAAAATATATACAGGCAATTAAAAGTATGCACGTATTTTTAAAAATCTTTGAATTTCTAGGCAAACTAGCATCAATGAAGCACTTAAAGGACGAAGTCGCATCGATAAAGAACGACACGGAGTGCGGCCTCCGCTTCGACGATATCAACTTTGCCGTAGAGCCGGGAGACGTTATCGTCTGTTACAAACTCGTTGACGTCAAGCACACCACCCAATGGGATCCCGGGTTTTAGTTAGACCATAGACTATAGATGTTAATAAATTCGTAGACAATTTTCTTTTCATTAATTTAGGAATTCATGAAATGGATTATATGAATATTGAGGGTTTTGTCAGGTGGTAGGTACAAAAACTCGTATTACCAGATTTAAAACTATTCAAACAACTTTTCCCTGGGCCCGACTCTCGTCTCGCCGGTCGGGTGTGCCTACATGGTGGAGACGGAAAGTTCAATGAAACGAGCATAAAGAGAATCGTCTATTTATTTCATCATAAACTCGATAGGCTCATAATTCGTGTCTCACTAGTTTGTAAACTTCAATAAATTAACAAGTCGGGCGCTCTCGGGCCGACGGCGCGTCACCAAACAACAATCATCTCAACATTCAGCTTATCTTACAGAGAAAACTCCTATTTCACAAACGTAATTCTTACAATTCATCAAATTATAACTTTCTGAATGGGAAATATAAATTTTCCCCGCAAAAATTCAACCGTGACTCAAATTATACACTAATATATAAATGCGGCTAACAAACAAGATCACTTGCTGATCCATTATTATACAACTCAACGGGTCAACGTCCATAACCGTTATATTTGTTGTTAGAGCTTATTCAATTCTAGGACTAGATTTTTAATTAGCCAAAAACATTAGTCATTGTGCAAAGCTACTTGTGTTTTGCGCTTCGCTTAGTCATCAGAAGCTATAGCATAGTTCAACACATCTAGTGTAATAATATTTATTGGCCTTTTTAAGTGGATCCCACATTTTCTAGCTATAAATTTAAATCATACACATAATTAATCAAATAAGGCTCTAACAACAAACCGTAATACTTTATTTGATTATAACAAAAGCTAGGAATTCGATATACCTAGTAAATAGGTCTAAAACATATTATACTTGATAACAAAACTGAGGTATAAAATTGTCCATAGACAGATTTTATGTGCACTACGAAATCAACTAGGAATTTTGTTCATTTTATTAGTTTTAAATGTCTTAAAAAAAATTAATTAAGAACGAAAAGATACATCTACAAGTTGAGGAAATCTAGTATACCTACTGGGTGCATTTTTAGGGAGAAAGTAATTGTAAAAATACTATGTGAACATTGAAAAACTTTAACCGACGAGGATAATTCATTATGACATTTCACAATTTAATAAAATTATCTAGAAAACGGTACTTGCTTAAAATTTTTTGATAAAAAGTATCCTAGTCAAGTCTCCGTAATTAATCTGTGTATAAAATAATATGGCATAAGGTTAAGTGGGAACGAAAGAAGTATTTATACATAATATTTTTTTAAGAAGCCTCGCGTTGGTGAATGCCATTTGACAGATATCAACTCGTCCACAGACCTAACTCAAGAAACTCGATACAAACACGCGTCGATACAACAATATTATCGATTAAATAAATAATTTCAAGAGATAAACACAAAGAGTGCTATGGCCGTGCATGTCTATACAATTTTTACTTGTTTTTTTCTAACTAGGTAATATTTAGGTTCTCGTTCGGGTTGTAATAGGATTGATTTAGGTATTTTGCAAGTATTTCATACATTTCAACAAAATATTGAGGACATACATTTGATAAAAGAAAATGTTGATACACACCCATAAATGCCTTTTGAATAACTGAATGGCGGGAAATTATAGACATTTATTAGCATGTATACTTGGAACCTGAAAGTATAATATAGATAAAGAAATAATAAAAATTAAAGTTGTGTTAAAGACCTATTTTGTCTCCATTCATACTTCAAAAATACCTAAATTCAAAACAACCCTGATTGGCTAGGCAATCTTGGATTGCCAATCTAACCTATATGTACAAGAGCCATTGCTTATATTAGCTATACACAAGTTTTTTACATATAATCTGTCTGTCTTTGCCGTACAATGTCTCGCCACACATATAGGGAAATAAATTTACTAAATTGAGTATTGAATTTTAATAAGACAAGATATTTCTTTATTGTTAGGAGCGAGTAAATGACAAAAATCTATTAAGGATAATGAATAGCTGCCATAACTATGTGAAGCAAGACATAAGTCACAATTCATTACACAATCACAAACCAATCTGTCTATAATGGAATTACTTACTGCTACTAGTTGTATAATCCACTGCTCCAAATATTCGGAGAGAATAATCAATTGAATAAATAAATGACTGTAACTCAATAAATAAAGAGAGAGAGTTAGAATAAAACGAAGTTTTTGAAGCTAGAGCAATATATGGAGCAGTAGAGATTATACAACTCGGCGACGTCGCGCTAGTCAGTCAGTTCGCCCCTCTCGCGACGCGTACCAGACACCGGCCGCGCTGGTCTCGACCACGTGTTCACGCAGCCGTCCGCACACGCCGTTATGAAATACTCCGACCGGAAGAGCAACGCCGTCAACCGCTCGTGGGCGATCTTTTTGCACACCAACGGTTCTAGCACTGGACACTCGTCGAAGCGCGGGCAAGACGGCGTCCCTATTAGCTTAACCGGGTCGCAGTTATCGCTCGGCGCGCCGGCCGACTTTCCCCGCAGCGCTACAGTATTGGTCGCCGACTTCTCCGTCGTTTTGGTAAGGCTGAAGTTTCGTCTGTGGTCCGATTTCCGCTCTCCGAACGATAGCGCCGCGAGTCGCTGAGTAAAGTTCACTCCTAGCCCGCTCTCCTCTTTCGCCTTTCCGACGCTTATGTTCAAAGTAGATACGTTATTTGCTTTCGTCTTCGGTTTCGCCCCGGACGGTTCCCCCGCCGCGTTCGTGGCGCTCAGCTCGGCGTGTTTGTGGCCGATTTTGTTGCTCTTTGCGCATTTCGGTGGAATTTTTCCGGGCACGCCATTGGGTGAGAAATTTTGACTGTTCGGGGAGAGGTGCGCCGAGGCTCTCGCGCGCACGGGTGGCTTAAGAACGTCCTCAGTCAAGTCCCACAAGCACAATTGCGTGTCCTGGGATACACTGCCTAACCGATAACACTGCGCACTTTCACTTTTGTCCTCTTGCGTATCTTCTGTATCAGGGTCACTGAAGCTGACCACGTAGGGGTCGAAGGCGACCACTGACACCCAGGAGCGGTGTCCCTGGCCTCGAGCGACGACTCGCCTTTCACTGAATGACCAGACGGTAACGAGATCGTCTTCGCCCCCCACCACCACGTATTTGCCATCTGGAGACCAGCACACGCAGAGAAAGCCGCCAAAGTAAGACCTCGCTCGGCCTATCAACTCCATAGTGTCGTAGTGAAAACATCGCAGGAAACCATCTTGCGAAACTACGGCGAGGTTGGTACCGCAGGGCGAAAAAGCAAACTCGTTTATACAACTGCCCTCAGCGCCTATTACCCACCTGAAAATTGAATTTTTGGATAGATATAATTTTATTCTAGGACTAGCTGACCTCGCAAACATTGTTTTGTCATACAAATTATTTTTAGGGAATTTTTAGTCTCTAAAAATCTGGTATATGAGATATGCGTGGAGCACTGTGAACGATGAGGAAAAAATAGTCCAACAACTAAAAGTTAATGTTAAGGGTGAACGACCCTTATCACTTAGGGCTATGAAAAATAGATAGTTGCAGATTCGCCGACCTACAGGATGTATATATACCGTTTATTATGACTCCGCCTATATTGACCAACCGTTTATTATGACGTCATTACACTACGAAGTTTGGTTTCATATAAAATTATTTATAAAAAAAATGAGATATAATGACTTCCCTTACAATGATATGTCGCTTATTATGACCCATTTTCAATAAATTATGACCGATTATAATGACCGACATGATTATACACACCCGGGTACTCGGTGATGTTCGCTGATTCCCGACGACGCTCGGTACGTGGCTTTTTGTTTTGAATCGCAGTGAGTATATAATTGACGCTTGAAAGTCACGCATTGTTTTGTACATGTGTATACATGATAATTTGACCATTATAGTTTAAATACAAAAAAAGTTACCATAAATTTGTAAAAACTATAGTGATTAGGGGAACACCTTAGCACAGGGATTAATTTTTTATTGCCCTCTCTCCCATCACTTAAAATAATAAACTGCAATAAAACGAAACATCAAAATTTATCGATAATTTTTTTTTTGTTTTGGAAAGTCACTAGTATTTTGTAAGAAAGAGTTGGCTTATTGTAAAATTCACATGAGAAAAAGAATTTAAAAAGACATCAACGCGCGATTGTTTTAAAACGCATGATTACTTTTAATGTCCATTATAACTTGAGCTGCTTGGGACTATTCATATAAAATTATTTTACTTACCGGTGGAATGTGACACCATCTTTCTGAATATTTGATGTTCTTTTTGAATTTCTAACATTGCACAATTTATGTAATTTGAATGCAGTATTTTACATTTATGTAATAAATCCCCAGGCGAAGTGCAAACACTTCAATAAATAGGTTTAAATCGTATGTAAAGCAAAGTGCAAAAGGGTTTTTGTTAAGCAGATATTTAAATACAAAAATGCTTGGGGTGTGGAGGAACGCTCTTACAAGGAAAATGTCGTGTACTAAAAGTAATCGATTATGAAACTTGATAAAAGGAGACGCGAGTTATTGCCAGTACGTCTCGTACGTTACTACGGAGCCTTGATTTGAGACCAGGTAGTAAATGTAAAGTTAGATTCTATAATTATTTTGTGACGTTCATAGTGAATAGTTATACATGAATAAATGATTTTGCTGATTTGACTTACACCGTCTGTTACTTACGGAACGTTGAAAAACGGCCCCCCGAGGAAATTGGCAAGGCCGGACAAAGGCCAAATCGCGGCGCAAAAACGTTCTTTAGGACGTTAACGGTGGTAAGAGCGAGGGGCGCTGGACGAAGATCTAGGCTAGTGATTGACTCAATGTCAATGTTTGTAATCGATTTATTATCGATTTAGATTATGGATTTTAAATCGTATGAGATATTGTACTAAATGGATTGATGAACACAGTGAATGGTGTTGTTAATAAAGAATACCATGATTATCTTTAAAGGAAAATAAAATCATTAAAAACTTTTTTCATTATTGAACTACCTGATTTAATTAAATATGAGTTATTATAACTATTTATACCTTCTTTAGGGCTTTTTATACAATTATATTTCTACGATCCAATTTGGTCTATTTCAATAGGAATCGATTAAACGATACTCTCAAGGATCGCGTATGGACATCTCTATTTGGTTCTTTCGTAAAGCTTCGTACATATTCGGTAATGTTCGGTAAACAGTAGTGGGTCTCGGTCACTCCTTGGCGTTAATTTCGTTATCTCTGTCTTGAACGCAGTCCGTTAGAAAAGTGATTGTTTATTGTTAAATTTAATACTATTATTTCTCTTTTGTTATATTTTTGTTTTGTCTCTGTATTTTAGTGAAAGATAAAGTTCGTAGCCCTTATTCTCTTTGAATCAATTATTGGTATGTTACTTTTGCTTGCTATAGGTAAAATCTTTCATTTATCCCAGTAACGAAAATAAATGGCAGTAATCATTTTCTTTACGAGTGTACATGCGCCAAAGTTAGTCTAACCTCTGTTCAGACTTGCCAAGTTACGTCAGCCGTATTAAAACTAGCGATCGGGACTTATAGTAGCAAATGCAACCATGTGACTATTGACAGCCCTCTAAACGGAATCTATTGGAGGTGATTTTGGGCTTCTATACACAATAATATCAGAGACTGTTTTTACAATAAAATGAACAAACATAAACAAATTTCAATATAGGTTTATACATGCATTCTTTATCATTTATATTCAACTCCACTAAAATATAGAAAAAAAATTACCTGTATAAGGGATTCCTAGTGCTTTTGGTCCGACACGTGTGTATCGAGTAGCCATCCCCGTGTTTGAATAGCTGGTAGTGTGGAGCCGTCGTCCCACAGGTCAATTCTTCGTTGTATACGTACAGCTGCCCCGACGCATGAGCTGCTATGAACAAATTGCTGGAACCTGGTACCCACTTGATGCAAGTGACACGAGTCTTGTCTATCAGTCTCTGGAAATCAATGTTGGTAAAATAATGACTGTTATATCCATTTACAAAGGTATTTTAATATATTGATTTCACATTAAAATAAAATTGAAAGCAGATGAATAATGAAAATATAATATAAACCTGATATTCACAGCATGATGCCCTCAAAGAGCATAAAAATAGTACTTGCAAAAAAAATATTTATCCAAGTACAAATAAAGAAAATAGAATAAAGAAACAGAACTCACCTCTTCATTATACAATTTACTTAATTCTTTCTTAATAGGATCAATTAGTTGAATTTGGCCAGTAGAAAACCCTATAACTAAGGAGACACTCTCTGCTGTCATCGTAACTGTATTGAAGTCATGACAGGTTGGGTTTGTGCCTTTATACATCTTCTTATCCACAGGCTTTGTAAGGTCTGCCGCCTGAAAGTGTCAGTAACAAATATTAAACATATGCAAAATTATGATTATGAGTAATTTGACAAATTAATTGAAAATATGTAATTTCACATTTTGCTAACATCTGCAGTGTTGAGACTTAATAACAATAAAATCTATTAAGTAATGTTTACAAAACATTATGCTACACCAGATGTTCAAGCATTTAGTATAGTTGACCTATTCATATTTTTTTTTCTCGTTTAAACAGATTTGGTAAATTTTGAATTCAATAAATCTACTTCTTCTTAGTAAAATAGTAACCTTTAATTCTTGCCTACTTTTATAATTAAGTGAATTATATGCATTGTGTATACTAACGTCACATAGGAAATAGTATTATGCACGCTCAAGTTATCTCAGGGGAAATAAGATTATGAAAGATTTTAATCTAATTTATTGCAACTACTGAAGCTTTAATGCCTGATAGTCTTGGCATTACATTTATTGGCATTTGCAATTTTAATGCTTTGTAATATTAACAAATACTTTAAGGTAAATTATAACTAAAATGATATATCTTTTTAGACATTATCAATGTGCCTTTAAGATACATAAGTGTTTTATAGATATCAAACACTTGTAAACTTCTGACAGACTTTTAGTTATGTTAAAATGTAAAATTGTTGCTTAAAAGGGATTTAATAAAAATGGCTTTCAAAATAATGAGTCGTTCAACGTTTTTAATAATGGTTTTCTTCATAATATTGTTTGTTTAATAGCTGCTCTTTTAATAAATACATAAATTTAAGCAAATGAATACATTCATTTACAATTTTCACTTCACATATACTGATAAAAATCATATAGTATTTTTACACTCATATTTAGGAAAAATTGCATTCCTCAGTTGCCAAGTTTTATCGGGTTAAGCCAAAAATCTTAAGTTCCCGACACAGATATATAATTTAGTTAAATCATAAGACATATATACATACACTTTAACTAAATTATACTTTTCTATATTTTATTGAAACAATTAAATGGAATTAAATTAGATGTATTGGTAGTGATAAGATGATTAATGGGCAATATAAAATGTAAATCTGCAAACATAAAGTGGACCAATTTCTATACTATCTCTTTTAAACAACCATATTATTACATCATTAGGTTTACCTTTTTAACTCCTCTGTAAACATAGACATACAGCTCTTTTCCGTGATTAAAGCATATCCTATCCTCAGAGGCCGGGCCATCGGAGCCCGGTGCGGCGCCGGGAGGCAGTGATACCAGAGAGACACGTACATGAGTGGACCCAGAGCCGCTGGTATAACCGACACGATTAGGGCGTGAGTACTCCGACAGTGTCATCAACCGATACGTGCCTTCCCGCGTCACGAACTGTGTCTTTACGTCGTCCTTCCCGCCGGAGTCCGATTGCACGGCCATGTTATCATATCCTGTTTTTATTCATCGAGACCGCCTGGTAAACTCGACAGCGCTAACACATCAGCCCGCACGTGAATCTGATTGCTCGTATGCAACTTTCATTGCTTATACACACAAGGATTGACCGGTGGATTGTATGGACTTTAAACCAGTTATTGGGTGTTTTAATAATTATCAAAATTCGTATCAGTTTAAAATGGGTATTTCTTGTTGCCTAAAAGTCAAGTCGCACATAAATGTCACAGTCAGATGACAGCCAACGACAATATACTGCTCAGATAAGTGTAAGGGTTACAGAGTACGGTGACTAGACTAATTTATCCGATTATGAAAAAAATTAACAGTTTACGTACAAAATAAAAAACAAATTCACAAGATTATAAATTATTCAACGGATTAAACTGTTTCTATAAAGGCTTCATATTACCATTTTGTAAACTCTTTGGGATTCTAAGAATTATGCTACAATACAATATTCAAGAACACTTTGTTGTTGTCTTCATAACCCAAGGTTGTTTAGGAGCAATAAATAAAAAAAAAAGATTATAATATTTATATCTACTATTTACTAGTATGTTCTACAACATTTGTTAAGAGTTTATTTTCAGCGACAGAATCTTTTACTTCATTATTTACATTGGCTGTACTGACTGTACTCTTTCCTTCCTTCTCTTCTTGTTCCAAAAACTTGTCCCACTTGTCTATCCTCTTGCTAATATCGGCATCGGTCTCAGCAATTCTGTATTTAGTCCTGCCGTCCCATATTTCAGCAGTTATTTGCCGTTTACCGAACCATCTTCCATTGATTAATTGTATCACAGCATCAGCTTGTTCAGGCTCCTTCATTGTGATTTGAGCTACACCTTCGGGATGTCTGTCATAAATAACTACTTTTCTGACATCACCGCATTTGCCACACTCTTCTCTCAGGTCCTGCTGATAATCTAAAATGAGTTGCACTTCCTTATCAAAATCAGTTGGATGAAACAGGTTCTTCACAATCACTACTCTTTCGTGCTTAGACCTTTCCCCAATAAACTTCTCAGGCCTCCAATCAAATAACTTTTGTTGCATCTTTTTAATTTTTTCTAATTCCTTCTTTTTCTTTTTCTTGGGTTTTAATGATGGGTTGTATGCACCTTTTAGTTCAAAATGAGCCTTTTCAACCTTTATTGTGTTCCCTTTAAAATCACTGCCATCTAGTAAATTTAGAGCCAAGTCAACTGATTCTATTTTTATGTATGTACATAAAGCGTCACCTTTGAAACAATTTTGTTCTTTATCCATGTACATTTTGATTTTCATTTTTTGAGAGCTAGGATCTCTTTCAACAAGACCACACTTTTGCATTAGATCTACAAACTCTTCTTCAGTGGTATCTAATGGTAAATTTGACACGTAAACCTTGGTATTTTTCTCATCAGATGGTTCAAACCACTGTGGTTCATTTTTACGTTTTAAGCCTGAGTCTTGCTTCTTTTCTAGTTTCTTCTTTTCTACCCCATCAGCCTCTTTTTTTGCATTGTCTACAAATCCATATGACATCTGATAAAATGCAAGAAAGTCATCATCAACTTTAGGTATCCACGCTTTTTTCTCATCATCCCAAAAAAACTTAGATCCATCTGGTTCAATATAAACATGCGTATCATCTTCATAGGTGTACTGTCTTCCAGATACTTCTGAACCTGCTTGAGGATCCCAAGCATTTGTTGTTTTATTCCATTTATATTTTTGTTGTGAACTGGGATCTGTATAGAATGCATCTTCACCTTCATATGTTACATATGGAGCATATTCACCCCAATTTTCATTACAAGTGCTTGTAGAAGTATCACGAGAAGACTTATTTAATAGTGCCTTTTGTACTTCAATATTCTCTTGAGAATCTTCATTCTCCTTGCTATTTATAACCTCTACACTATGCTGTTGTTCCGTTTTTTCCTGTTGTTTACTAGTGTCAATCTGACTAGTTGATGTTAATTTAGCTAATTCTTCCTCATTTTTACCTTTCTGCTCTTCTTCATTTAATTTTTGAACTGTTTCAGATGAGAGTTTGATAACGAAACCTTGTTTACCTCTCTCCGATTTTAACATCATGAAATTTAATAAAATTGCTGTATTTTTATTAAAGATTAATTTCTGTTGATTAGTGTGAATACATAACTGATTACTTTAGAAAAATCAAGTAAAATATTATAATTTTTTTAACAATTCACTAACAAATATAGTTATATTACAACTTAATCAAGGCTATCACGACGCTATTTTGTCATTTTTTTTTTGACAGCACGACATAATCTGTGGTTGGCAGTGACAGGCATCAAACTGTCAAAAGAACTTTTTCAATACTCAAAGTATTATTTTTCAATGCACTTTTCGCATTAACTTATTATTTGTAATAGTTCGTACTTAGTGTATAAAATAAAGTACTCCACTTTTATCAACATTTTTATTGCTGAATACATTATTTAATTTTTTGAAAACATTTCCTAGAGCAAGTACTTACTAGGCTACTTTACTTCATGACCGGGATTTTCTTATTAGTTTATTAAGTCATTTAATAAATATAATTAAACCTTTTCTAACCTCATAGATTATTAAGATGGAAGACGTAAAAGACGTGTATTTAACTCCATTACCCGAATCGCAGTACGTAAGACCATTCAGGATGCATTATACCCAAAATGGGAAAAAGAAAAACTGGGACTTGCTTGAAGTTCATGATAGCGTTGCTATTGTAGTATTTAACGTAACTCGGAAGGTTATGATATTCGTAAAACAGTTCCGGCCGGGTAAATCAATTTCCTACTTTACTACACACCACTTGTAGTTTCAAAAGAATTTTCTACATAGAAGAAACCCATAGTACAAATAAGTTACTGCCTAAAACTGGATTTAATGAGTTACTTATATGTTTTAATAAAAAATAAAAAAACTAATCCTTTATTTATTGTTTAGGTTGGCCTTGATCTTGACTGCTTTTTTATATTATTGTAATGCTAGTGAAGTCTCATTAAACTTCTTTTATTTTCCAGCAATATATTACAACAATATACATCCACAAGATAGACAATCAGATGTCATAGACACAAAGAAGTACCCAGCATCCCTAGGAGTCGCATTAGAAATGTGTGCTGGTATCATTGATAAAAATAAGAGTGTTGAAGAAATAGCAAGAGAGGAAGTTTTGGAGGAGTGTGGGTATAATGTACCTATAAACAAGTTGCAAAAAATCACTTCTTACAGGTAAAAAGGTTCTTCAAAACTAGTTTAGCACATATGACATGGTTTATGAAAAGTTTTTTAGTTACATAATAGTCAATTGTAGTTAAATACAATGGCATCATATAATTTTAAATTCTATGTAGCACCTGTAATTCTTGTTACTTCACGCATATTTAATAAAGCTATTAGTTAATTGTTGATTGAATAGTGCTGATGAGAATGATCACATTTTAAAAAGTAATTTTATATTTTCAGATCTGGTGTTGGTGTTCAAGGTTCTTTACAGACATTCTTCTACTGTGAAGTTACAGATGAAATGAAGACAGAGCAGGGTCAGCATTTTTATATAATTTACAAACAGACTCTTGTTTCCAACACCCCCGCTAATTCTGTATAATTTAATTTGTATATTTTTTATTTTGTCTCTTTTCAGGGGGTGGAGTAGATGATGAGATTATAGATGTGGTTGAGAAAACTATTCCTGAAATAGAAGCATTAGTAACATCACAAGGACCAATAAATAGCCCACCAAGTTGCCTCTTTGCACTAATGTGGTTTCTTCATTACAAGGCTGAGCAATACAAAAAGTAAATTATGTGATGTACACTTGCTGTATATAATACAGTTTTACGAGTTGTTAGTGAATATTAGTTTGGTTTTATGTAGTTTCCATACTATATTTTTTATTTATTTGTGTTCTCTCAACAATGCTTAGAAATAGCTTCTTTGTTCATTCAAAATGAGTGCTGCTCATTAAACTAATAATTGTCTAATTTAAATTATCCATACAGTTTAACTATATTTAATGAAAGTTTAGGGCATTTTTGCAGAGTTATATATGAGGATTAATAATATTATTATATTTCTTCATTGTTAAATCATTTCTAGATACTTAAGAATGTAAAAGATTTGTATATACAATGCTTTGTAACATGAATAAGGTCCTTTACATACAGATGCTTTAAAAAATTCATTCAATTATTTAGGATTGTTTACATGTTTTTAATTTGGAGATGTTGCATTATTCATAGACATTGTTAAAAGTATAAGACATTTTATTTTTTTAAATAGAAATTGAGTTCTAGTTACATAAAAGGCTTGTTTACAGTTGAAATAACTAACAAAGGTAATTAAAGTCAATGGTATAAACCCTTTTTGCTAGAGTCCGACTAGCACTAGGGCTTTATCTTTAAAAGTCATCATTTTGTACCAGTACAAAATATAACACTATTATTCTTAAAGCATAGTTAGTTACTTTCTCACTATTTTTAACCATCATTGTTTAATGTAAATGTTTTACAGGTCCTTTGGCCTCTATTGCTCAGATTGTAAACAATAAGGCATTGTTCCCTCCCAAGAAATATTGACAAATGCATTCTATATCTTTCAATTATAGTACTCGTCTTGGGTTCACGGTACTTTTTAAACATAATAACACACCCACTGTGATGTAATATTATATGAAAATAAAAGACATTATTACTTACATTTATTATTTTGTTTTTATATTTCAAGCAAACGGTCAGTGAAAGAATACCTACCCACATATGGATCTCTCGGTTTGCGGGTAGTTTATAATTTTTATTTTAAAACAGTTTGGTACTTGATACATATGAGAAACGATGAAAAACTTAAAGTCAACGTAGTATTTATTATAACGTTTTACTTAAGAAGATTAATGTATTCGCGTTAAATCTTCGACGATTTTTATGAGGTCGTCCACTGTCGCCTTTCGCATGATGCCGCCATCGTCGATCTAAAGATAACATTTCGCCATTTTTATTAATGCAAGTCTTTACTGAATCTAACTCTAAAGCATGTCTATTTTACCTGAGTTTAGTGAACTCAAAAAAAATCATATTGTCATTCTATGTACAACTAAGCACAATAATAAAATAATCAGATTATGGCGTCATATATTTTACTACATGCGTATACCCAGCAGTTTTTAAGTAATTTTGCTTTTCAATATTGATATATATATACTTGCTGTGCCCGCGACTTCGTCCGCGTGCAATAGTGATTTGTTTGTTTATTAATTTATGTAAGGGCGCATTTAAGGCAGCCAATCTATGTTGTATAGCTATTTTACCGCAACACTCTCACCTCACTCCACTACTGCTCTAACTCCCACACTCACTTGCACTCCTACTCATATTTCCAAAAAGCCAAAGAAAGTTTTATTGTTTTAGCTTCAAAAAACTACAAATTACATTGCACGGGATTTTTCAATTATTTGAAAAATTTAATGATGGTGGATCAATTGTTGGAGTAACACTATAGATCGTGGATTCGACTCCGATGTCCCTCAATTTGATAAATTGTAAAATTGAGCTGTGTATGTTATTATTGTTATTGTATGTATAACATTGAAATATTGTTTACCTGCAATCCCATCTGGACAATCTCCTGTTGCTTTTCCCTACTCAGATCCAGGAAACTTTCGATCAGGTCTCCGTCTATGAAGCCCTCTGCCGGTTCTGTCTTGATATCGGTATTGAACGATCTCCAAAACGCGTGCGGGATCTTACCGACCGACTTGATCGTGTGCGTGAGCCTCTCTTCCAGTTGGTGTAAGAAATCGTATAGCTCTTGTGATAATTGGACGACTAGACCTGCGTAAGAGCTCAAAATTTAGTGTGGGGTTAAATTATATATATATATAAATATTGATAACAAACATATGATTAGGTATTAGGGATATAGTAAAATAAAGTTTAACAATTTGACAATTGCCCCTTAACATGATTGTGTTGAATTTCAAATTACATTGCAACAGCGGTCGCGTTACTTACATATGGCCCCATTAACTGTGGCTAGTGTGGCGGGATTCTGCACGGGGGCCGCTGTATCTGCGTGTTGGCCAACCAGCGAGCCCAGCCGCATAACGTTGACCATGTCGCCGAGATGGAACTGGCCCATGTACCCCATTTGTTGACGCTCTTCATCCGTCGTCGCTGCGCTGTGAAGTAATTGTACAGTAATTGTAAATTTAAAAACGACTCGTATAAAACTATAATGTAATTTAAAACTTTAATGATAAAGATTTTTCAAAGTATACGTTCTTGTATAATTTTATAATAAAGTAATGAACAATAAAAGATGCTTCTTTTCTGCTGGATTATTTTTACATAAAGAAAATTGTTATCTTACATGAGGGTAGATTAAAAACTTAAAAGTCACATTAACTAACCTATCCTTTTGACAGACAAATAAATTTGAACTATTCTCAGCTCCTAGGAAAGTGTCATCGTCTAATATTTCTATGGCAGTCATCCAATTCGGACTGTAATCGCGTGCTATTTCTTCGAAACTACCCTCCATCTGGAAATTAAACAATATGGAGATTACTTAAAGCTGCAGAGTTTGTTTGTTGGAACGCGCTAATCTCAGGAAATACGGGTTCGAATTGAACAATTATTTTTGTGTTGGTTAAAACTCTTGTCGAGGAAGACTATAGGCTTTAAATCATCGCGCTGTAACTAATAGGAGCGAAGAAACAGCGGGAAATGTAAAAAAAAAACGGGGGAAATTATTGTAAAAAATATATATCTCTCTGGGTTTCCGATGCGTTTTTTTTTCGAAAACGGTTCAAGACACCCAAAAATTTGTAGGTGAGGATTATTCTTTAAATGATCTAAAAAAATGTCCGCGACACTATATGTATATCTTTTAAGATTACCTTGCAAGAATGACAGGGCCCGAACGAAGGGCCGTGAGCAACGGGACCTAACCGCTGTCGCAGCTTTTTATAAAGATAAAGAATAGGTTTACAAAGAACAAATTTGGATGCCCAAAATAACTTTTCCACGCGGACGAAATCGGTGACGCAGCTAGTGAATATAAAACTGTAATTGTTTAAGATACACATAAGAAAAATGAAGTTGGCTGGGATCCGAGCTAATTTTACTTCTTACCTGCTTGTACTGTAGTAATGACATGGACCGCATGAGATCGCCAATTAATATGAAGTCGCCTTTGACCTTAAGATATAGAGCTACGATATTGTTGAAGTGACTGCACTCTAAGCGCAATTCTTTGTCTGACGTCCACTCGAATAATCTTACCTGAAAAAAAAAACGAACAATTTAAAAACATCATTTTTGACGGGACGGGCTAATAACCAAATTTCTTAAATGAATTTGTATTGTTCCTGAAATATGTAAAACTACTCTCAGAATAGTCTTGTAATCGCGTTTCAATTTGAAAGGCCGACAGCACTTCTCGTTTGGATGTTATATGGCTGGGGCTTACATTTCATTAGGTGAATATCATGTTGCCCGCTGTCAGACAAGCCTATAATCTATAATTTACTGAAACTTATTTCTAATCTGTATTATTAAACAGCCTTCACTGTAAAATAAACAACGATCAATAGATTTTTTTAACAATAACCCAACTTTGTAAGACATACTCACAGTACTATTGATTGACGCTAGTAGTTTTCCATTGAATTCTACCAGCGTATAACAGGCACCTTTTATCTCTTTTTCCGCTACTTGCGTTAACTTTCCTTCCGACCATTGGAATAATATTATTCGGCCCTAAAACCGAAATAATTAATATTATAACATAATATATACATCACTAAGCTTCTTAGATTGACCTTTACCATGATAGTATTCTATAGAATCGATGCATATATGCCATCCACCATTGTAACATAACGTATTACTTAGCATTTTGTTGAGGATTTGAATCCCGAAGGACGATTTTTATTTTGGGTTGGAAGGAGTCATGATCATCTACTGCCCTATACAAAATCTATTACTGATTATGAAACAGAAACCTGTTCGTCCTAGGATCCTAGGGAAAGGGGTTTCACTTTCAACATACTCTCATATCGTTTTCCTAATAACACTTGGTTAAGTTAGAGAAAGAGACAAACTCTTTCTAAAACTTCAAAGACAAAGACAGAACAAGTATTTGCTTAGTGTACCTGTTTGGGTTCAGATTCTTCAGGGTTTAGTATGGCAGTCCCTAAGGCGTAATAGTGAGCGGGGTCGTCCCCCAGCTTACAAGAAACCAGCGACAGCACAAACTCACTGGCCATCAACTGATGCGCGTGCAGTACTGTAACATTTAGTATTAGTAATCCTTAAGATTCGAAATTTTGTTTAGCGTAAATACTTTTATTACAAAACGTGTTTTATTACAAAAAAGTGTTTTATTTAAATAAAACACTTCTTTTGTATGTAATACGCGAAAAATATTAGTTATAATAAAATATTAGTACTTATATAACAAAATATTTTAACTACGGCCAAACGTTTCACGTTTGCAGCAACCTTGACCACGGCTGCTGCAAAGAATCCGAACTAATATATTTCACGTTTTAAACCGTTACTACTACAGCCAGTATTTATGTATTGCACAATTAAAAATTAATATTATGACAATTAGAATTGGAGGTCAATCGATTTGATTGTTAATGAAAATTGTTAAACATCACACTCTTTCTACTTATATCTCAAGTATTAATTTATTTTTTATTAATATCGAGAATCTATAGGAAATACGTCAGAAGTACCCTAACTAAAAACTGTACGGGCAACTTAACAAGGGACTTCGCCTCGCTTTATCCGACGACGTCCCTTTTTTCGCGTCCAGCTTCTTAAGCTTCCACTAAAAATGCGGTGGTCAAAGCCAAGGTCGATGCCCGTCTTGGAGCATCCGTTGTCTAGCCGCAAAAAGGTAATATGTAATAACTTTATATTAGACATAGAATATATATTTCCAAGCCAGTACCTTCAAAAGTATGATGATCGATTATAAGCAGGTTGTATATCTCCAAGTCGACAGCGGCCGGGGCGTGTTTCGGTTGCGCGAGCGGCGCATGCTTGGGCTGAGCTAGGGGCGCGCCGCTTATGTTTGCGGCCGAAGTGGATGCACTGCCACGAACTGACACCGATGTGCTGCCGGAACCTGACGTCCATTCCAGCTTATCTACACGCATGGTAACTACGCCGAACGTCTGTAATCGTGAGAACCTTTCAATAAGTAAGAAATACAGTAAATAAAAGGCGTCGGACATATCAATATTTCTTCTTCTCTCAACTTTATTTACAGAACAGTACCTGTGTGGCTTCCTGGTACGCAATTCGTCTGGGCGTCTCGTTCAATGGAACAGTCCTGATGTGCAGCTTCTGTATTTCATCTATGGTGCCAATTGTTACCGTGCTGTCTGTCGCTAGCGCCAAACTGTCACACTACTTCGTTAAAACCAGCACAGAATATACAACATCAAAAAGAGAAAAGAAACCCTCTATTTCCCACAAAACAAGAGCTAAATCGGATACGAACGGTTGACGGAAAACTATAAATAATTCCTATCGGACATGGCACAGAAGTCTAATCAACTACTTGTCTGTAAATAAACTTGATCAATGTTATGGATTCAAAAACACTTTGCCCTCAAGAAGAACGGTAAATATAAGACCTATGGTTGAAATCAGAATGCATCCAATTCCTTCTCAATGCAGAGGCTATTTGACTGATTTTAAAAATTGACTTTATATTATTTGGTAGATGTAAGGTTGTGAAATAACGCTGCAATACGGCTAGTGACGTCACGAGCATTGGTGTATATCGATGATATGATGTACAATCTACATGCCTTCCTAACAAACATTTAAATTTGAGAAAATTTATTTCTATATTAATGCAGAGAAAAAAAGTTAACACTGGAAAGTACAGTGGTTTATAGTACTGTTTACAAGCAAGTGACGTGATAAACTCAATCAATTAGAAGCGTTTTGCGTCACGTGACAAATGTTAAAAAAAAGTAAAATGTAATATATGTGACTTTTTTTAATATTTCTAAGCTTAATACTAATAACGTTCGCATTGTCCAATAGCCCGCTGTTTATTCACTCACCTATCGGGGTATGCCTGCGCATTCAACGAGCACATGTGTGTAACTTCCTTCAGGTTCACGTTTGAGAAGACTAGCTTGTGATTCGAAGAGAAGATGACAGTTGGTCGGTCAGAGCAGGCGAATATGTTTGTCGTGGATAGAGATCTAGAAATATCATAGACACTTGAGTTAATATTACACCTATTACAACTTTATTTGTATTTTGTCGTTGTATATGCTTTAAAAAGTAGATAAAGAAAACAAGTAGGTGACATACATACTTCTTTATCAAATATTGTTTGCTAAAAATTATCACCTGAAACTTCTGAGCACAGTTGGCTGTGTCCCCAGGGTGACTCTCTTTCTGTTAGCTAGGGCACCAGTCACAGGATCCACAGTGAAGTAGAACATGGAACCATCTCCAAGGGCACACAGCAGATAGCACACGCCCTCCAGAACACAGATCAACAGTGAACGGGGAATTATTTCTATAAAAAATGAAATGATTGTAAATTTTGTATGTATTAGGGTAAAAGTATCAAACCCTTTGAGTCTGAGAGCATATTCAAACAATATTGCAACTTAAAACATAGAAAAGCCTTTATTATTGTTATGCAGTAGCGAAATTATAAAAATACCTCCAGATAATTTTTCAGTATGCAGAGGTCTCAGATCTGGTAGTTTTAGCACTCTGACCGAGATGTCTGTCCACAATCCGACTCCGAGCAGAGCTTCTTCATCGCCAGGTCCGAGATCAAGACAGGCCACCTCTTCTTCCATACACACCTCACTGGATCAAATTAAAAAAGTCAAACACAGAAATGTAATAGAAATAATAGGAAAGTTCACACTTACTTAACTTAGACTCTAACAGAATGATTAAAAAACATATTAGGTACCCAATTACTCTGAAAAAGCTATGAACTATTAAAATTTTTGCTTTCGGTCCATGAATTTCAGAATGTCCAAGGTTTCTTTAGATGTTTTATGGTTAGGGTATTGCAACTTCTATCAAGTGAAGCCTACCCTCATAAATAATAAATCTCATAATAGGATGGAATGTAATAGGAAAAACAATGGTATTTGTTTATTAAGGCCTCTTGATTTTTGAAAGGCTTAACTGTACTCACGAGAGCAGAGTTAGTTCCCGGTCGCCAATAGCTAGTAGGAAAATGCGATTTCCAGCGGCGGGCACGACGCGTGTATTGGAACAGGCAACTACGGATATTGCGCGTGCGCCGCCCGGCTGCCACGACGCCGCTAGAGCCCATTTGTCGTCTGTGTTGGCTATTAAGCGGACACCTTCATCTGTCACCTGTAAGTACATTAATGTTTTCTTTTATATATAAAAATAATTTTATTTTCTCTTTATCTTTTTTTGTACTTTTTAATATGTTATTGTTGTAAAACACTATATCACAAGGATAGGCACTATTAAGGTTGTATAAGCAATAATTAAGATAATATAATAGTGAAAAAGAAGGAAATGCTAGAAATTAGACCTAGTAGAGTTTATTTCTTCCAGCTTACATAAATTGCGATACAATTGAATAAATTTAGGAAGCGAAATCTTAAAATAAAAGATTTTTAGATTCCTTTTTGTATTGTATTCCATAAAAAAATACCTGTATAAGTTGATTGTGAGACACATTGCCAGTAAAGAATGTCTGTCTGTCTGATACGAAGCCTTTGATTTCAGTTTCTTCAACTTCTTCTCCATTAAGTGTCAATACCCTGTAATGAGTTTGGTTATATTGGAATACTGTTATAGTGAAGTGATATGGCTCGAAGGGCCAAATTAATATTTGATTTTTATATATTCTATTGTTTAAGGAAAATTATATGTTGGTATCGTTTAACAATTACCGCCACGATACCATTACAAATAACCGTGACCTCAGCTTAAACGTCCTCTTCAAGGCAAGGGTATTCTAAGTGTACTAAAGGGACAGATGGTCAAGTACAATCTAACCTGGTTTGTCCCACAAAGGCGAGAACTAATGTGTCATGGTAGGGCGACGCTTGCGCTAGTGTGAGCGCCCACATTCCCTTGATGCCCGGCAGATCGATCGATGCTTGCTCTTGAATGCCAATTCCATTCCGAATTATACGAAGAGAGCCCATTTTGAATGCTCCTATAAGAAAATACTTGTAATTAGACCTTAATGTCTTGAGACTAGAGTAAGTACATATATATGGACTGCTTGCGTAAGCTATTTCAAAAAAAAAAATTAATATAGGTAGTATGCTTATGAACTGACCGGAACATGTAATAAGCTGATTCTGCCCCTGCCTCTCCAAATCCACTACGCACATATCCACAATGGGTGATAGGCTGGTGAAGGTTTCCATCACCTTCACATACTGGTTCGAGTCGTCTCTGGCTGCTGAGAGACGGACTAAGGCGGAGTCACCTAGTCTAGAACCAATGAAGACAACGCCGTTGTCCAAGTATGTCATACATTCAGGTATGGGGATTTCACCTGGAGAGTAAGCAATGAAATACATTTATCCTTTTTGTCAAAGAAAACTTATAATAACATTAAAAGTTCACCGAAAATATAACATGCTCATATACTATGTTTACACCGTTTGATAGGCTTGAAAGAGAGAGGTGGGTTATAGCATTACCAGTAAGGCGAGTTGTTCTACCTACAAAAACCAAGCTCTTTAAACCTTGGACATGCCATAAACACACTCTACGTTCTTCTTTATCTATTGCTCAATTCTACTAAACATATATGATACTGCAAGAACTTAATAAAGAAATTGCAATTTGTTTATGAAGTTTACACTTGCATAGTCTTCAGTGACTCACCAAGTAACTCCACTTTGAGGTCTTTGACGGCCATCGTATCGTCCGCCCGTTCGTACAGTTCTAAGAGAAGCATAAAGAGCCGACCAGCTATATCGCCCAAAAGATATCGCAAGCCTCGCGTGTCGACACGACAGTAAGAATTTATTTGCGTCATCTGGAAAAGAATTAATAGACTGTCCAAATTTTCTATGATATCACATTTTTATTACTTATGACCCAAATTTTCTTTGTATTTGTTATTTAATTGAAACTTGGAAATTCGCAAGGCAGAAAGGGAAAACGGGTGAAATGGTCGACAAATGGTGTGGATTGATCACCCTTGCCTTCTATTGGTGTTCCGAAAAGAGTATAGTAAATAATAATATTAAACTTAATAAATTATTTTCTATTGAGAACACCAACAGAAAGGTGGGTGACAAGTCCACATTATGTGCGAACTATTTCCCAAAAAGTACCTTTATTTGTGGTGGTGATACAGCAATATAACTTTGTCCATCATGATAAACGATTGACTCTTGTCCAATAACAATGGCTCCCCCTTAAAATTAAATAGAAATATGTAAAGGAATGTCACCAGAACATATGTGTAAATAAAAGGTTGTCAAAGGTCTATTTCTCACCTAGAGGACTTGGCACTGGAATTAATATTGAGGCTTCAGTTTCAACATTATCTTGTTTCCATGGGACCTTGATAAACTCTTTGTCCCTTAAATTTATTTCACGTGTCTGTAATAATAAGGGCAGTTTTATAGACTAGTATCTTTAAATTATTAGCTATAAAATATGTGTTTATGCAAGTACTACACATTTAAATATAACACTTTTAATGCAAAATGTGTTGTAACTTATTCAAAATTTGTTTTAACTACAACCTGCATCATGATGGTACCTAACTTTTAGCATAGCCATGTGGGCAATAGACCCATTGGGGTCTATTTACCTTTATTACCTAAATTAACATTGGCAGGCTCCATCCATGTATACTTGACGCTGCAAAATCCAATTAAGAAATAATCATAAAGAAAATCACCTTAATATGTCGTCCATTGAGATCTTGATGAATTAATATAAGTGTAGGATTAGCACAGCCATGGAGAAACTCTAAGTCATATACATTCAACTCTTCCAATCTGAAAAAGGTGAGAATTCTATTATTAGTTTAGGGTTAAAATGTTTAAGTACAAGTGACTACTATCTGATATTCAAATACCAAGTAATTTTTTAGTTAAGAAACATGCCCCATTTTGTCATCACTTGTGATCATTTGGCCATTGTGATTAAGAACCATTTCTCAATGACAATGGCCAAACAGCTCAAAAAGGCCACCCTAGAAATATAGGCAAATATATTCTGTGCTATAATACCTTCTCATAATTTTGTACACACTTTGTTTTGTCTTTCTTCACAATCAGACTTTTATTTGATTAGATAGATTGTTTTTTATTTATATTAGATAGATTGACTTTTATTTAATTGTGTCATTGTTTATCAACAACTTGTGATTCCTTACTTTTCTTACCTTAGACTTGCTGCTTTTAACTCAGTAGAATCTTTATCCAAAGGAATAATCTTAAATAGCCCATCATATAATCTAAGTCCAATAACTCTTGCTTGTGGATCTATGACAGCTAGTATACCATTTTCTGAGGGTTTACCGATTCTATCAGCAACATTTCCATGAGCCCGTGTGACCACCTCCAAATCTCCATTGGGACCAGTCCTCCACTCGAGAATCATAGCATTGTAGCGAGCAGTCAGAATAAATACAAGATCTTTATTCTCATACTGAAATATATTTTTGTAAATGTTTTAATGATCTGTCTGAAATAAAATGACTTAAAACAAAAGAATTTTTGAAAAATCAGTTCCATAATTCTATTTTCTTACTTTTTCAATCAAAATAATTTCTTGTAAGACTTTACAACTAAATGCAATTAACTATAATTACACAAGTCAAATAAGAAATCTTTGTGTAAAAGTCTATAGTTAGCTAATTTTTGATTTGATTTTATTATACCTGAATAGATGTATAAGGAAAAAAATTAATATGACAGGACTTTCAAACATTATAATATGAGCTTATACTTACAGGAGGTCTGAATAACTTCATTTTAGCAACTTTTCCATAAAGTCCAACTTCTTTCATAGGATGTAAACCTTCCGGTGTAACGAGGTACATTTCCAACCGAGATACCTTCGCGACAAGAAGGTTTAAATCGGTTGGAGATGTGAAGTTTCCTAATAGAGAGATATTTATAAATAATGTCTTAAAACAATATGAACATCGTTACATGCTAAAAGTTTTTTTTACTCAAGGAAACCCAAATGTTATAATCTAGACAAAAGCGAATTAAGCTAGAACGCAATATATTATCAGTTTGCTATACAGAAATATATTGGGATTTCATGCGGAAATGCACAACTAAAGAGGTATACGGTGAATAATAGGGGGTAATTTTACACCCGTTTTATTATAATTTAATAAAATAGCTTGGTTAGTAAATCGTAGTAAATCTAATAAGGTGTCGAGCTTCATTTCATATAGGTGCATAACATAACCTCAATATAGTACACAAAAACTAAATCGCGCCGTTTACCTGTAATACATGCTGTTACAGCGGTAGGCTTCTGTGCAGTAACTACGTAATGGTAAGCCATGATAATTTGCTCTTAAATCAAATTATTTTCAGCAATTCAACTCTTTACTTAAATATAATTAAACAATGCAAAGGCGGCCTATGAAAGCTACATTTTTTGTTTGCAGTTTGACTTTGACGTCTGAATTTGTTAAGACTGTCAAGAAAGCATTAGCGGTTATAGATTATACAATATTCTATATTTAGCCAAATAAAATATTTTCCCGCCATTATCGATAACCCCTGCACTAACGACCTATACATAAACAATGGATTGAAGGCTTTAACTTCCAAAATATCTTTATCTTCTGTACATAAGTTGAATGAAAATTTAGTATAACGTTTATTTATTTAAAAGAGGCTTACCAACTTAATACATAATAAAAACTTAATATAATTTATGTGACGATTATGTATTTAAATTAAAGGCAAGACAACGTTGCTATGAGATTGGATATAAATTACATAAAGAAAATTTAAATGCGCAATTTAACAGCAACATCCAATGTATTATCTATTTCAAAAAACAGCATTATATAAATGCATAATAATAAGGTTGTTAAGCAAATGACAATGTCTAATGGATGAATAAAACAATTAGTAAAAAAATATTTTATTCAAGTAGATATATTTTTTAAAATGTCATATCACTTAAATATTACAATTCACTTGTCTTATAAACGATATCAGTCTTCACGATTATTGGGAATGTTAGGCGGCACACTTTGAAATAGCACTTGTATCAGGAATGTAAATTTATCTGAAAACAATAAAAAAATTTTTTTTACTACGGCCCGGAAGGTTTGCAGCAGCTCTGAGAATCTTTTTAACAGATATTAACAGAAACTACTCAAATATTCAAATGTATACTCACGCAGTAAATACGTCGGCGTTTTCTTGTAATACACAAATAGTGTGTAAACTCCAACGCCGATGACTATAAATGCAATCGCCATTATATATTTCAGCGACGGCTCGTGTATTATTGGCAATACCGATAGGAATATTGCGATTAGCAACACAAAGCAGGGGACCGGCGTTGGTACTCGATATGGACGTGGTTTGTGGGCGTGGGTTTTTCTTAGCACGAGTAAGGCCACCATGGCCAATCCGTAGAAGAACCACAGGAACCAGCTAGCAAACTGTATCAATGTCGCGATGTTGCCAACTATGATGAATATCGACGTAATGAATGCCTAGGAACAAAAATTAAATGATTAGTTACATTTGATCCTTTGAGCCAGATAGAAACTCGAGGGTTTGCGTTTCCCCCTTTGTGGCATGGGGCAAACACATTTCTGTGCCGCTTTCTGCTTGCTTTCTTTCCGTTGCTGATTAAATTTGAACACAAGACTATTTGTGTTTCATTATTAACCGATTAATGATACTTATATAAATACCAGTTTTAACAGATCTCATATGAAGTCTTAAGACACAAAGTAGTGTCGATCCATGAGTTTAAATAAAGTTTCTATAACACACACACATCCTATTAGAACTTTTTTTTAAAGAATTTTACTAAAACATGTATTTATTTAAAGAATTATAATATTACACCTGTAAGGCAACTGCTGGAGCCGGGGTCAGTCTTTTAACGTTGACAAATGAAAACGCCTCGATCATGTGACCACCGCGCGCTGCTGTATAACACACCCTGTAAAAATACCTCTATTAGGAAAATAATTCAGAATTGAAACCGTTTCATTGAGGCATAGGGGAGACACACTTTTGTGTCGGATTGAAAGATCTTATTATTTTTACACAACGTCCCAAGGTGCGAACCTGCTTCATGTCGCGCGCTTGACTTGACAATGTAGACTAATATTATAAAGCTGAAGAGGTTGATTGTTTATTTATCGATGAGAAAGGCTTTAGATTACGAAGGATGCGATAGGAGCGAAGAAATAGAGGGAAATGCGAAAAAAACGAAGAAAATTATTCATCTTTGAGGGTCTTTGTTGCGTGCGTACTTTAAATAAAACACTTTAACGGTTTAAAACGCGATATATTAGTTAAACTTATTTGAAACGTCGGGCCGAAGTTTAAAATCATTTTCAAATAAGTTTAATTAATATATCGCGTTTTAAACCGTTAGTGCTTTATTTAAATGTGTACTACTCGCATAAACTACAGACAGTATTTAATCTAAAATTTTGTCCGTGACAATATAGGTATTTTTTTCAAATTAACGCACAGAACCGTTTTTATGGAAATAAATTGAAATAATGTGACGCCCAATGACTATCATACGCAGACAAAGTCGCAGGCACAGGTACCTGTAATAAAACTGAATCTATAACCCACCGGCTCACACCAAATTGTACGCTCATAGCACATCCAAAAGTGGCGATAACCACACCGAGGGGTATCAAGAAACTAGCGGGGCCAAGCACTCGTTCTCCAAAAGCAACTGCCACAGCAGGAACCGACGTCATTTCATCGAAACTTAGCGCCGACATATAAGCCACGTTCATAAAGACATACAGTGCCGTGATCAGGGGTACCGCTATGGAGATACTCAGCGGGACATTCCTGTAAAAAAAGGGATGTAATACAAAGGTGGGAAGAATGATTTAAAAAGTTATTTACTCTATAAAACTACGAACTATCTATAATATATCCATATGTAATTTCACATGTTATAGATAGTTCGTAGTCTCAAAGGCACTGAAAACCAGCAGAGTGCTTTGCGGTTTGGTTTGGTTAATATGTATAGAGTGAAACCATTTTCCCAGTGGTACCTGTGCGGACATTTTGCTGTGTCCGCTCCAATGTTTAATTTTATTTACAGGCAAGTATATGATGAGAGTTTGGGCTCAGCCAAAATGAAACAATTTCATACCTTTTCAATTCAATACCTTTCCAACCAAGACCACAATGTTATGCAACGCGCTTAATCGTTAAGATACTGTTGGGGATGTTTATTTGTAACACATGTTATGTTTTAAACTATTAGCATGACCTTATTATAATTTATCACAGGAAATCCATTTATTATCGAAGCCATAAAAATTTTGTGACGAATTATAATATTATTATTGTGTCCTCTGTGCGTATAAAAATTCGGATCACTTATATTGTACTATTATTAAGCTTATCAAGCCACGTGCTCGATAAAATACTAACACAGCAGGGTTGATTATTTCTTCTGTTACTACTGTAACACTGCTCCAACCATCATAGGCCCATAACCCCGAATATAAGGCTAGGGAAACACCACCAACACTCGTTTTTTCACCGTCGAAACCTTTTTTTAAATTCTCCGTGTTGCCTGTAACGAAATTGAAAATATTATTCTTTGTTTACATATTGTCAATACAGAAGTTCTAATATTAACACACGAGCAACACAACTCCATTTAAATACCCTAATACTGTACCACAAATGCAAGCATTACAGACACATCTTGTCTTAATTATATGAGCATTAGAATAGTTTTTTATTGTATAAGGTTTTAGCTGCCATTTGCAAAGCTTCTGGGGCTACACATCTTGACAACAATTTCTCAGTTACAACAGTCTGAAAGAAACCGATTAGGGAATAAAAGAAGTATTATAAGTAGTGTTACAAACTCACCAGAAGCAAGCACGTATATCCCTCCTCCAATGACAACCAGGCATGCAAATATTTTACATATGCCAAATACATTTTGTACTTTTACAAACAGCTTCACGCTTGTTATATTAATATAGGTCATAATAACTGTAACAAAAAATGTAATTGATGAAAGGCCCTGCTAGACTCAGGGATTAATATAAAAAAATGTATTAAACAGAAAATCCAGGAAAAACCAGGAATTTGTTTTAAATTATAATAAGTAGTGGATTAAATGTTTATAAATTGGCTGGTAAATTATTTAATATATATTTAAATACTGTTTATAGTTTACGCGAGTAGTACACATTTAAATAAAACACTTTAATATATAAAACACTTTTATATATTTGCCAACTATAGAATTGACCAGAGAGTGTTTTAAAGACCATCCTTAATTATAAAGTGGCATAATTTAAAAATCATAGAGTTATACAGGGCACCATCTCTTAGTTTGTTAGTGTTTACTTGAATAAAACATGTGCAATATGTAATAAAAAGTTTATTGAAATAATATTAGTTTTAATTTGACAAAGCATAATTCTGTAACACAAACACAATTATATGGCAGTATATCATATCACATACACAGTGAATTCCTAGTTGCAGAATAATATATATCCTTAAAATGCAAGTTTAACTTTATTCTTGTCATAAGGGTGAGTTGTGATTATAGATATATCACTTAACATTTCTACAATTGCATAGTTTTCATCTGTTATCTGGATATATCCATTTGTTTCTTCATTCAGTTTCTCTTGCATAAGTTGCTGTAAAAAATAATGTATAAAATTAAAAAAATGTGATTATGATCTGGCAGGTGGTGCTCACCATTTTTCACAAAAAGACAATGAGTGTAGAGAGAAATTGGTACATGAAGTACAGATGACAAATTTTAATTGTTTCATTAATTACATTTTTTTACAGACAGCTTCTTGATTAGACTTATGTGCCAGGACTAAAAAATTCTTTATTAATTTTCCTGGGACCTTATTAATTATTAACTATAAAATAATAGTGAAAATTATTGTAAAAGATAAATTTTTTAACACAAAAAAGCTTTGAAGAAGTTTAGGTATGATTTTCTTGTAACAAAAATAAATAAATCTCAAGAGTATTGTCAAATAGCTATAAAGGATATAGGAGTTTGATTTAAGCTTACCCCTAAAAACTCAATGATATGTTCACTCAAATGTGGAAAAAGTGATTGTATGAGTCCTCGTAGTTCATTTTTCATCATTTTAAATGTCTCTTTAGCCTTTTGTAAGTGCTCAGGTCTTACACTTCTATGGATTATCCTGGGTTTTGATAATGCTTCCTTTACTGGTGCTATTAAATTTTGTAACCTAGAAATTAAATATTAAGCACTTACTCAAGTAATTGAAAACAATTATAATTCACAGATAAAATGAATGCATAAGTCTATTTTGTGACACATTACAAAGTTTTAAGAATTAAGTAAAAAATAGCCAAATGTTAAAAATCCTAGTTTCAGAGATGTTTGCAATCTTATTATAATTTCTTTGTAGATAAATTATATTACATGAAAGAATTAACTGTAGTTTAGAAAACTAGCCAGAAGTTTTCCAATAAATAGTGAGTCTATGTACTTGACATGGTACTTCGGCTTAAAAAAATATTAACTTAAGTCAAAGCCAAGGCACCAAACTAACACCTTATGCAATCTGTTGGGACCTTTACATACCTTTCAATTTCGTTAGCTGTATCACAAATTGCACCCTTGGTAAATGAAGTAAGTTCTTCTAGATGCTCGGTATTCTTTTGCATTTCAGTCAAATAAAGACATGTCATTAGATTCTTGTCCGAAGGAATGGCTGTGTTTGAATTTTGGATCTCGGTTCTTAATCCTTCTATATAGGCCACGGTTTTTTGACTGATATTCTCCTGTTTAATAACCTCCAATTGTTCACTTTCGATGATATTACACGAATCTATGCATCTTTGTCTAATTTTTTTGTATTCGTCTGTTAATTTTGCTTTAGTTTTATCGTTTATTTTGCCCGACATTGTTGTATCATACACTTTCGATTGAATCTCGCTTCTTTTAAGAACGCAAACGTTTTTGGAAAAATATTAACAAATGAATTTAAATATAACAATTCACAATTATATTAAACTTAAAAAGCGCGATTAATTTTATTATTTGTTTACAAGCCGATGATTAAACCGTTACGAGTTTTAAATGCCGTAACTTTTGTCAATTATCAGAATATTTTCGAATAACAATGTCGATTTGACATTTACCTTTCTGACTGTCAACTATGACATCTGTCACGGCTGTTATAATGTTGCCAGTAATACTCTTTTTTCCGAATCGTGTAAAACATATTTTTTATACATGGATAAAGCGTTTAATGTTTAAAATATTTAATACCAAACAACACATTTAAAGATCACACAGGTAAATTAAAATAAACGAACATATGAACTATCTTGGGTTATTAATTGTTTGTGATCTTACTTACATAGGGCTAATAAGGACGTCAGTTTAATAGCTGCAGATTTGTAATCATCATCTAAATCCTTTGTGAAGGGTTGAATTGCATATTGAGCAAAAGTCATCACAATAATAGCGACTTCTGCCGGTCGCAATATCACCACATAAATCCAAGCACAGATGAATGAAGGTAGTGGACCCCAAAATTTATGCATTTTTCCAAAGGCCTCCCGAAAGTACGCGTACTCAGCTCCAGATTCACCGAGAACCGTACCCAGTTCCGCAAATGACAATGCTCCTAGAAATAGAAGTGAATAAAACCATGGCAAGTCCGACGTGTAGGTACATGGATAATCATATTGTATATTATTTTTATTTTCAACGATTTCAACTAAAATACAAATAGGTCTCTTACCTACACCCACCTAATAAGGATATAACTCCAGACACTGTCCAAATAATCAGACAAACGCCTACAGAACCAGAGTATTGGAGGGCAGATGCGGGAGAGACAAATATCCCTGAACCAATCATTACGCCTAGTATTAGATTAACTGCTGAGAACAGTCCCAATTCTCGTTTCAAGTTTATCGCACTGCCATTTAAACTTTTGTGCTCATTTTCGTCTTTTTCACATTTTTCAAGATTCTTTTCTGTAGTCGCCATTTTTACTGCAACAAGAGAAACATATAATTTATTATCTCTTAGATATATTACCACATTATTGGATTCAACTTAACTCTACTGTGTAATTTGTGTACCTACCAGGTTTTTGAAGGTCGGGAAATAATAGAAAAGATTTTGAATATCTTAACTTGCTTTATTCATTTCTAAAGAGCATTGCAGCTGCTCGATTCAAGACAAAAGACAAGTTTTATTTAACTGAATTCTTGCGCCATTTTTCATTATAAGTACAATACCCATCTTTTTTTAGTAATGTTTTCGTGATTCAGTAATTGACATAGCACAAAACACATAGATTATGTTACTTTTTACATAATAAAGTGAGAAATAACGGAAGTGAATACTGTCTATAGTTTACGCGAGTAGTACACATTTAAATAAAACACTTTAACGGTTTAAAACGCGATGTATTAGTTAAACTTATTTGAAAATGATTTTTAACTTCGGCCCGACGTTTCGGATGCTTTGCAGCAGCCGTGGTCAAATTTCCTACCAATATCTTTAAAGATTCGATGGTGGGAACTATCATTGACAGAATTGCCGAATTAAAGAGGATGTCGGAAGTCATCCATTGAGCAATCATCTAATGGAGTAAATGGTTTCATTTAACCGTCTACCAAATGTAACGGATACTTTCGGACAAGCGAAAAACTCGGTTCGTGTAAACGAATTGAAAGACAGACGTACTGCCATCAAATATGCCGCACTCGTCAAGTTGCCTTCGTTGTCTTCTTCCACGTTGATCTCAGCGAGAACTTTTTTGTTCTGCTAATGCTCTAACAAAGACAATTCAATATATGGATCAGGTACCACTCCCATACAATAATAACAATGACGGGGTCGTAGGCGTAATGGTAGCAATGTACGGCAAAAAATCAAAGGGCCATCGAAATTCTGTTCGGGCAACGAGCCACCGTCCACAGATGAAAAAGCCGTAAAGTTTAATCACGTTTCGGTTTCAGTCTGTGGATTTCAGAATATCCAAGGGCAAAATAGGTCGACAGCGTATCTTGTTTAGATGCTATAGGATGTACTCCAGCCACCAGCGTACCATCAAATAAACCCCATGCTAGTCTGCGCTCCTCTATCATTAAAAAAACATATTCAGCGAGAGAAGCAATTTTGACGTAGGATTTTTTTAAGTTTTCGCCAGGAACTGAGAAAAGAATAGGTACAATATAAAGGATAGAAGGTAAATACATACATACAAACTATAACTTAAAGATTGTTTATGTATTACGTTACTGTGTGATAATTGATAACAAAGTGCATTGACTCGTAATAACTACTGTCTACCTGATTAATGTCTCACCTATCTCTTGTTATTATCACTGGAACTTGACTATTCTCGTAAAGCTACGGATAGACTGTGCCTTGACAGTTTACTGTTGCTCAGTTACGAAACACGCTGCGTATAACATTGAGCTAGAGAAGTCCTAAATTCAGAACCGGAAACCATGTTAAACTCATTGGGCTGAGATGGCATCGAAACTTGCTTATCGTCTGTATCTTACCTACATTAGATGAATGGAATTTCACTCACGCCAATATCTAAACTAGCAAGTACTGACGTCCCGTTCATGCAAGATGAGTTTTAACATTTGTCGAAAGCAAAATATGCCGAAAATGTACGTGAAAAGAAATATCTGAGTTTTTAGGTGTGGAAAAAGGAACTTAATTTGAATGTTGGGGGCAAGTCGCACCCCCTAAGGAAAGTTCGCTGTAATATTAACTGTATATGACATGAATCTTTAATTGGCTTTTAATTAATACTTAACGCTATTAAATATCTTTAAGGCAAGTATTAAAACGTTTTTCAAAGAAATTCGTTCGCCACAATTAAGACACCTAGTTGCCCCATTGTTAAAAAATATTAAGATAAATTTATAACAATCACTGATTTATCAACCAATAAAAAATTAGTCCGAGATCTACTTTTATCTGTATTAAATATAATATACAAAATAAAAAGTCTAATTATGGAATCTTATTAAGTAAAGTAATGTTTAAACAAAATAATATTGAACAAAAACATTAATCAACATTTTTTTTGCTTTCAATAGCAGGATATAGATTAAGTGAGTTTTTAACCTTTTTTATAATTAATTTGGATACCTTTTATTTTTGCTTACTTAATAAGGCATGACGAAGTTAAAAAAAACGAAATACCTAAATCGTACCGGTTCGAATTAGGAACTTCGTATCGGTACGACTTAAACAACAGAGACTAGTAAGTTTAAAACTAAAATAGTGATGTAACATCTTACAGTTAAATCGTTAACGCCATTACGCAATAAGTGTTACGAATATGCTTAAATAAAGAGAAATTATTATAATTCTGATATTTATGTTGGACTTCTTCGCGTACCTTGTTTAGATGTTATATGCCTGGGATATTTCGCCTACCATCGAGTTAACTCCAGGCTTGTCTGTCTTCTCTATCATAAAAAAAATATTATCATAAATGCAATCTTGACAGATAAATTAGGGATATCCAAATTTAAATCACTTTCTGGGAAGGTGGATAAACCAAAATATACAACAAACAGTCATTTTATTATTATGCTTATCAGATATGAGTGAGATGATATAAATATCTGACTGTATCGCAGCCCGGACAAGGTCCAATTTGAGATTTGGTTGCCATATCCTGATAACAGAATATGATTATCACATCATGAAAGTAATTGCCAGTTGTAGACAATGAAATCTGGCCCCAGGGTCAACATACACTCCGTAGTGTCTTCATAAATTCCATTTAACGAATTACGGCGACGTTACAGATAACATAGAGCTTAAATTCAACGCTTGACGGAATCTACAAATTTATTTAACACATTTTTAACCGTTACAAACGCGAAATGGATTAGTTAACTTATTGTTAATGTAACTGCGGCCCGACACTTTATTTTATAACTAATATATTTAATGATTGTATGGTATATTATAACATTACAAAGACAGACGAATGTCTATCAACAATGTCGTCTTATTTACCTACAAGTGCTACTGAAATCTTTACTAATATTGTAAAGCTGTGAGTTTGTTTGCTTGGTTATTATACTCGGTAATCACAGGAACTTCTGGTTGGATGTGGGTGGAACCAGTAGTTTGATAGACCATTTATCTAGGAAAGTTTTCGGCTATATAACATCACACTGTGACTAATAGGCGGATGAGTGAAAATGAGGGAAAAAAAAATATTATTTTAGGGATTTCGTTGCGTGCCTTGCGAAACATAGAAACTATATAAAAAAAAAATTTCTCTTTTAAAAACCCAAAAAAAGCCCCCAAAAATCTACTCAAGTAACGTACAGGTTTTATTGAAATAATATTCATAAATTTTATCGACTCAATAGATACCTAATTCAATAAAAGGACAACCTAATATGTAATGAAAGTCTTGCTTAAGTACCTGAAATGCCGAGGTTTTGACGTTATCGATGTGATAAACAACAAATCACGATACTTTAAAAAAGGAAAACGTAAACCACGATTATGTCGAAAAGAGGTTTTGCAAAGCGTACAAGTTACTGTTTCTATGGCCTTAGCGCAAACTTATGACCCAAAAAGGATAAAAAAATGTGTTTTAATACTCCGAATAAAAACTTGCAAAAGTCTCAAGGCACCAATCGACTTAGCTTCAATACAAAATATTATAAGACTGCAATATATTAAAATGTTTCACGTAAAACGCTGCGAAGTTTCTATTTCAGTTAAAACCAGGCTAAAGAAGACATAGAACATAAGTTTAATATGGGTTAATGAGTCAAGAAGGTAACATATTTTGCTATAGAGCATATTTTCCATAATGATCTTTTTCAGTGCGAACTGTAGATAAAACACTTAAAATATTATCGGCTACAAATAAAAGAATTTAAAATTATTAAATCAAATATTTGTATTATTGTCGACCAATTAAACTAACAAAGAAGTAAATTACATATTGTTGTATGGTGTTCAAGATGGTTTTTGTACATGGAGTAAAATCTACTAATAACCTCCTGTGTTTTATGTTCTCAGTGAAACAGGGTAGTTTCGATCGGGTATTTAGGTACAATCAACTACTTGTCTATGGAAAAACCTGCCCCATTATCAATAACTATTAAGCTCTCTATGTTTCTGTTAATTTGTTTGTTTATTTTGGAAAACGAATTAATTAATATATTGAACAACTCATTAACTTACTTACACAATATTTAAGCTAACCTTTACATACAGAATGTGTAATTAGCGATTGATGTCGCACTAAAGATTATTAAGAACGCACTATTAAATATAATTAGATTCCTTATTGAAATAAAACCCAATAATAATTATTATTATTCTAATATATTTAGCGTTAAAAAGAGTTGGAATTTAATGGAGGATATTTATTGAAAATCTCGAGCTATGCATGCAAGAGAACAAATATCAAATTATAAGGAACATTGTATCGCTATTTTATTTGTTATCTACACTCCGCTTAATGCTGTTAAGAGAAGAAGTTCTTATCTTACTTACCTTAGCTACTACTTAGGGGAAAACTGGGGACCTGATTGATGGAAGCTGAAAGCTAATTGACACCTGAATAGGATTTACTTTTAATTAATCTTAGCTGCACGTGCCTTGTGATTTCCGAGAGATTACAATCGCCTTATAAAAGAACACGCATTTCCTCAAATTAATAATCAAATGTCGACGAACCCTAAATGCGTTGCATTCACGTCTTTTGCGTTTGCCAAAAATTTCATGACGTCCGCATTTAACTTTATTTGGATTCATAACATATACCTACGTTCACAAACACGCTCTTCTTTGTGTAAATGAACAACGGAAAATCACCCTAACTTTCCTTAGAAAACGCAATAACTTCAGCATGATACTTTTTATAGATTTTAAAACTAACGAAGAGTTATAAAGATATTCAAAATCATATTATTAAATACACTGTATGTAGTATCTTTTGGAAACTTTATTATTTTTCACGTGTTAGCACAAGATGGCATTATGTAAATAAAAAATCGATTTTAGATAGCCATGGTTAAAGCGACACTAAGGAACGTTGTGGATGCCGGTTCGAGTCTTGCCCGTGTCGTAAAATGATTTTCATCTCAAATCGATTTTAATAGTATCTTGTAACACACGTGATCATTATATGTTTTACTAAATAAAAAATGTTCGTATGACTGCAATAAAACAAACGCGAAATAAAACGCAAACCTCCAAGAAACAACTGCGTTGCACGTAATAAAAATTGACGAACTAAACTAAAAATTATTTTCGCATTTGTCTTGAAAAATAAATGCAACAAGAATTCACTTTGACGAAGGCAGTACTCAGAACCCGCAGGGTGTCAGATTTATACTTAGCTAAGACCGTGCATTCTTGTACATAACACGTAATACATTTGTATATACCTAAGCCTAGGTATGTATGCTCTGTAGTCTCAATTAACAATACTGAAGTTAGCTGTGGTCTAGATTCTGCTATGTAATCAAAAGCAAAACTTTGATAAAATAATAGTCTAGTAGTAGTTTAACTTTATGGTTTAAAAATGCAATATTAGTACCCTTTTTATCTCACCAATTAAAGTCAATAAGTAATATGGACTTTAGCGAACAGTTATAACACAAGTTAGCCTTAAACTTAGTTACTAGAGACGCCTTAACCGCGAATAATTTAAAATTGATGTTGAACACGAAACATATTTAAATAAAACACTTTCAACAGTGACAGCGGCTTCTGCAAAGCATCCGAAACGTCGGGTCGTAGTTAGAAATCATTTTCAAATAAGTTTAACTAATATATTTCGCGTTTTAAACCGTTAAAAGTGTTTTATTTAAATGTGTACTACGAGAACCTGTGACGAGAGTTACGCGAGTAGGACATATAAGTAGACAGTATAGATTGAAACAAAAGTTATCTATTCTGTTTGTAATAATAACTAAATGTTAATAAAGCTAAGCTGTATATTGTGTAACATACATGGAAATCATTACTACGCATAAAACATAATGTATATTTGACAAATTTGCATAAATACTCTTGTGATGGCGTTAGTGACCAACATGGCATCTTCATTCTTCAGTCTTAAAACGACTTTTTGTCGGTCAAATACTTCCTCAATTAGTATTATTACGAGTAATTTCTAAATTTATGTTCGGAAAGTTTGTATTTTGTTTGCAGGTATGTACCAGTAAGTTAACTGGTGTAGTGCTAGTCAAATACAAAATTCCAGGTCGGGCGGAATAAGAATAATGGTGATATATTTCGCGTATCAAACCGGTAAAACATATTATCTTTGAAAATGAAAATGTGGGTGCAAGATACGCAGACAACGGTGATAAGAGATAGTAGTACAGGTAGACCTCATCATCGTTGTCTGCGTCCAGCACAACGACAGTCTTAACAAATAATTTCCTTTTGGGCTTAAGTTTGTCACTACTTTGTTAACACAACAGATTATATAAATTAAAAAAAGACACGGGCAGGACCTGAATCGGCGTCCACAGCGTTCTGTCCGGTTGGTTAATTTCTATAATGCCATCATGTGCAATGACATGTGAAAAAGAATAAAGTTTTCAAGCTACCGAAATAATTCCCATACGAAACATCATTGTTGCCTATAAATTACTGTCAAATTGATACGCGAATAAACTATCAACGCAACTTACAATGTATCTGAATTCGTCTGTACGTCTGTTATCATGATAGTTGTATCCACAGATAAAATAATATTATCTCCGATGATAGTGCGTTTAATGGCAGCAATAAGCGACGGAATTTAGTAGACTTGTTAAAATAATCGCGCTATTTACTTTTATAATGTTACTACGTTAGATAACAAATTTTAATTTATTACTTAGTTTAGTCGGATTTATAGCGTACTTATTATTTTTGTATACATAAGCCTTTTATGTTATTCGAAACAATGGGATCGTGTTACAGAAATCACATACGTTAAGCGTGTTTTATGCTGTTTATGTATTTTTGTAATATTCAATGTAATACTAAATATTATATGTGGTAAAGATGTAGATTGAAGAAGGTTTAATAAATTAAAAAAAGGCCTTTAACACCAAACTTCACCTTGTGTTTGTTTTTATGATAGAGATTTTAAAGCAACTCTGTTCCCCTATAATAAAAAACGAGAAATCAACAAACTTCGCTTTCGAACTATTTTGCCTGTGTATTCGGAAATCCACAGACTAAACCCGAAACGATTAAACCTTGCAGTTTTTTCATCCGTGGACGGTGTTTCGTGGTCGGACGGATTTCGATATTCTTACCACCGATTGAATTGAACAACCCACTTGGCATCCGAGCCATCCAGAATATTGGCACAAGAAAAAATTAAAATCCAAAAAAGACATCGGGTTTATTGGTATAACGAATCGAAAAACCGACCCTAAGGACTGCGACGTTTACTTGAATGGAAGCAAACTCGCGTACAATAACTAGTATATAGTGACGCAGATTGGCTACTTGAAAGTACATTAAAATTATCCTTATTCAATTAAATTCAATATGTCTCTTTCTTAAAAATATGTATATGTGAAGGCCATGAGAAGGCACAAATAAAGCTCCGTTTTATTGTATTTTAACTTTTTATGTTAAAGCCCATTGTTATACGTTTATTGTTCTCAGTGAAGAAATTAAGCCCTTTTGTCAACTGCAGTCTGCATCGGTACATTTGGTCGTTGGTTGATCGGCTTCTTTTGCACTAGTAATAAGTAACAAGTAAGCAACAAGTCTTCCTATATTTTACTCGTAAAGGAAGAAAGCTTTTAAATGCATAGGTGAGACTTAATAGGTGTGACCAGATGCTGTTATCGTTGACCCGGAAATAATGATCACGTATGTAATAATTATCAATAATAAAAATATAATTTAACGTGAATCAGCCTTCTAATTTTTGCTACATAGAAGAAAGAGATATACCAACAAAAAACATAGGAATAATTGCTTGTAAATGAAGGATGTCTTTACTGAATAATAAGTGATAGTAATAGAAGTTTTAATTGCTTAGTTCTTGTTATCAGTGAAACATTTTTTATTTAGTTTGAATATCGAATCTGTTTTTTTAGTTCGAATGTCGATTCTGTTTTTATTATCCATAAGTACACATAGACGGAAGTTTGGACTGAATTAGGCCTTTACCGTGATATGATGTACTTTGTAACAATAATAGCCATCCTACTATCACAATCTGTAATTCAATGTTAGTTCGATATTTCACCAGATGTTGTCCACGACCTTGAACAATGCGTATAATATCAAAAATATGTGTCGCGAATCGTAGTAGAACCATAAATTTACAAATTAGAATAATTAGATACGAGATTATAATAATTCAATTTCGTTTGTTATCTTAATTTTGTTCAAAATAATAACAATAATATTTTTTTTATATAATAGAGTAACTTCGGCGCTTCCACTCGTGTTTGAGATAAAATGTGTCAGCTTAACACCCAGTTCATAAAAAGTGCGCGCCAATAAACTGCATAATATTGCAATTTCCATTTTAATAATAAAGCTATGTGCGTACGTCTTGCTACGTCGTAATAGCGTACGTAAATATCAGTTATAAAGCTATGATTTAATTGTAATACTCACAAATAAAAGCACTTTTAACACACGACTTCTGTCACTACACGATCACGTAAAAATAGCGCGGAAGGCGCGTGCGACGTAAACCATTCAAAAGCAAGGACTGCGACTTCAAAATACCTCGACTCGTGCTTATTGCTTACTATCGCTTCCATTGCAATATTCTCACTTAGATAAGATATTCCCCACGTGAACTGTACATGATGTAATGCCACGCCAGACTAATTCAATTACGATTGTTAATGACATTGTTGGATTCGCGCGTGTCTCACACCTAGATAGTGCGGTGCTCTATTTTTGGAGAGTAGTATTCTAGTGACCTAAATCGCGACAAACACACGTATTTAACACGCAAAAGTTCTAAAATCTATTTCTTATGCTAGTTTGCTATCTAGGTTAGCCCAATCTTGTCTAAAAGCTTTAGAATCGCGAAGATGATATGTAAGGTCAAGATCAATTGTTAGATAGCAGATCTTGGTTTACAGATGGGTTGATTTTATGCGATCGAATAAACGCACTCGTGATAAACAATAAAAAACAAATCCGTCACATTTCAAAATGAGGTTGGAGAAACGGTCTGTCCGAATATGTTTAATACTGTGTTAATTGAATATGTGTAGACACAAAGATATAGGGACTATAATAGCGAAGTTATAAATGATTGATGATGTTCTAATTGTTTTACACTTTGCTAATTGAACATGGAAATAGGTCAAGGAAATCGGTTTTTATTCCCATTGCTGCCCTTGGCGCGAGTAGATACAAATTTTTCTTAATACGTACAATAGTGTTCTTAAATACTGTCTATAGTTTACGCGAGTAGTACACATTTAAATAAAACACTTTAACGGGTTAAAACGCGATATATTAGTTAAACTTGTTTGAAAATAATTTTTAACTTCTTCAAATAAGTTTAACTAATATATCGCGTTTTAAACCGTTAAAGTGTTTTATTTAAATATTGTTCTTGCTTAAGGAAAAGTAACATGCGAAGTTAGTCGTCACTTTAATAACCTGTATGATAGGTACAGAAGGCAATAATAATTATTATGTGTTATCAGTTATAATTAGATATTTATTTAAAAAATTGTATCCTTTGTGTTTCTGCGATACCTGTTCTTTCGTTAAAACGTGAGAAAAAAAAATTATTACTAAATGGTAGTTATATTCTACGTGCACCATATAATAAATAAATAAATATGAGTAAATTTTTTGTAACACAAATTTATTTACACTGTAGTTAAATACATATTTACAGGATTTCACATACCGTAAGGTATGTAGAATAATAATAAAAAATGACTAGCGCCTGTTAAATTTTGGTAGCAAACAAACTTTACTGAAGGTTTGTGGCAATTCAAATATCTTTGTAATAGTAAAATAGAGAATTATTAGTCTTACGCTTGCTTTTGTACGTCTAATTGTTTCTTACCTAATAAAATAATTTTAAAACTGATGACCTTATGGCCCACATTTCTTGTGTTTGTAAATTATTAAATTGTTTTCTTTACTCTTCCCTTAGAATTAATTAAACCATAAGTACGTACACGTACATAAATAAACAATATTCTTATTTTGTGTCCATGTTAAAAAACTTTAACTTTGACGTGTTTTTTTTTACTATAACTGTGGTATTCGTTTGATTTTCACAGATTAAAAATAATGCTTCTATCTTCTCAGAAAAGTTTAGCATAGTCTATTGCAGTCTATTCTCTTTTAACATTTGAAGTTGCAATTTTCCCGAGTTTCATTTCTGTTTTTTTACGAAGACGAAGGAGCTTCTTTACTGTAACAAGCATTTTCTAAGTTTAACAGAAAATTGTGATACTAATTATAAGTAAAAGATCTGTTATTACTTAGTGTTTTAGAGTAAGACTTTGATATTAAATAATTAATGCTAATAATAGTGTGACAGATTGACTTGGCGTAACCACGTGAAGGTTATAATATACGCTTTAATTTTTAATTTGTGAATAAACTCTTTTGTGATAGAACATAATGGAAAGCATGGACGTTGCTCAAGAAGGTACGTCGGCTGCATCCACACCGATTCAGGAAAATGGTAAGTCTTTTGTGTTAAACATTTATAAAATGCCGGCGTTTCAAGTTGTTGCAACGTGCTCTTTTGTTTAAGTGTTCTGTAGTTATATATGCTTTAAAATGTCTTAGGACCCGATAAAAATGTTACGGCCGAAGAGATGACATCGCGAGACTATTATTTCGATTCATACGCACACTTTGGTATACACGAGGAAATGTTAAAAGACGAAGTACGCACGCTTACTTACCGGAATGCTATGTACCATAATAAGCATTTATTCAAGGGAAAAGTAAGTATATAAGATCGATCGATGGAAACTCTGTTCTTAACATAGAAAATTCCTCTTTATTTCCTGTAACCTAAGAAATATAATGGTCTTCAAGTACTTCAGGCTTTTGTGTTAATTTGATATACAGTCATCATTGAAGATGCAAAATTATTGTTTATCCTCAGCCTCTTATGGCTGAAACACTAATTTGGCAAATTCTTTAGTAGACCTTATCTAGGTTCTTAAGTTCTTAGCTATACTAAGTTAATTCACAACCTTTGAAAAGGCTGCTTTTGTTTAATTAACATTTGACTATTATTTTAGACAGTATTAGATATTGGATGTGGTACAGGAATCCTCTCAATGTTTGCTGCAAAAGCTGGTGCTGCCAAAGTTCTAGCCATTGAATGTTCTAATATCGTAGACTATGCTCGGAAAATTGTGGAGGCAAACAGGCTCAGTGATGTCATAGAAATTATTAAAGGAAAGGTAAAAATGGACATCAGTCGTCCTTTGTGTAAAATGTTTGTAATATTTCATATATTATAATAAAATTGTATGGGTATGATGCTGGTGAGAACCTATTTTAGCATAAATAATTAATAATTGATATGATATCTATGAGAAGCTTGTAAAATGTGTATGACCTTGATCCTTTCATGTTTGCTAGGTGGAGGAAGTGGAACTACCAGTTGAAAAGGTGGACATCATAATCTCAGAGTGGATGGGATACTGTCTTTTCTATGAGAGCATGCTGGATACGGTTCTCTATGCTCGTGATAAGTGGCTTACAGAAGATGGCATGCTCTTTCCTGATAGGTAAGAGATGTAATATTACTGTTATCTCGCAGTGTTTTCAGTGTCATATCAAATCTGAAAATAACAAGGAGTAACCTTGTAATATTGGTTTTGGACTCTATGAAAAATTCCATACAATGAAACATGCTGCACAGAAATAGTATAATCCAGTTGCAAATAATAAATGAAAAACTCTTTTTTATTACTAAATAGATTTTGACGAATCTTTACAATAAATGTCAATTAACATTGTACATGTAACATTATAGATGCACATTATTCATCTGTGGTATTGAAGACCGTCAGTACAAGGATGAGAAAATTAACTGGTGGGATGATGTGTATGGCTTTGACATGTCATCCATTAGGAAAGTGGCCATCTCAGAGCCACTTGTTGATGTAGTTGATGCAAAGCAGGTATGTGTTTTTAATTGCCTTCGTCATGTAATAGTGTTTGTTTTATATTTAATTTGGCGAGCATTTAAGTGCACATACTTATTTTTTATCATAATTATAACTAACATGTTTGTTTTCTAGGTGGTCACAAACTCTAGTTTGTTAAAAGAGATTGATTTATACACTGTCAAGAAGGAAGACCTGAACTTTGAGGCAAAATTCCACCTACAGGTACATTCTATACTACAATAAATTTTCAGCATGGTAGGCTGAATTCTTGTAAAAGTGGCTAAATTATTTACCTATTTTTACCAATTCACCAGGTCCGCCGTAACGATTTCATCCAGGCGCTTGTTACGTTCTTTAACGTTGAGTTTACGAAGTGTCACAAACGCCTCGGCTTCAGCACCGCCCCGGAGGCGCCCTATACTCATTGGAAGCAGACTGTGTTCTACTTCGACGAGTACATGACGGTTAGTATTTGAAAAAAATTAATTTAAATACATGAGTGACTCTCTACCCAATTTGTTATTCTAAAATCAGGATAAAATTTTTTTTTTTTTTTTGTATTGATTTTAATGATGCCAAAAATTTAACGCATTTTTCACTAAGATTATGGATCAATATAAAAAATACATTTGACTATTTTTAGTACACATAAACGCACTTCTGTTATAGGTGAAAAAAGGCGAGGAGATAAGTGGCATGTTCAGCATGCGCCAGAACGCGAGGAACAACCGCGATCTGGACTTTGAGCTGGAGATCAACTTTAAGGGTGAGCTTTGCCAGGTGCAAGAGAAGAACCACTACCGGATGCGTTGATGCTTTTTATTACCATACCTACTCTCTTTGCTTTAAGGTCTAAACCATTTTTCTATTGGTATCTTCAAGTACTATAGAAATAATTTGATGTCCCCAAAGTTCACGAGTTACAAGAGTTTTTTATGACTTTCAAACCACAAGGCTAAATATTATTCAAACAGTTATTGCGTTTCATAAAATAAAGTATTCTCCAAAGCTGTGCTTCAAGTTCAACTTTTGGTATAACTTCACTTCTCACGACCATTATTTTCAAATTATTTAACAGCAGCACGCGAAAAGTCTAAATTAGTATCCATTAATATGAAAGTGCTGCAACATTTTTTAAAGTTGATATTTAATATATGACTTAAGTAAAGTATTTTGATCTTAATCGAGCCTAATATAATGAATGTAACTCGTAGTCCCGTTTAAGTCGTCTTCACTTAGGTAACCAGTGGAGCTGTGAAGTATAGCAATTTCACTATGCAGCTTAGCCTGTAAGAGTTAATTAAGGTTCATATTTGTAAGTTGTATTAGCCTTTTAATTGAGTGTAAGGTTTCAAATTAATTCTGTGATGACATTTTTTTTAAGATTAGTAATTTTGTGTATAGAAACGATACAATTTGTTTTTTAATAAAATAAAATATCTCTGGCTGGTATTATAACTTGATAAATTTGGAAAAACTTAGTTGTGCCCCAAGTATTTTTAAAACCCTTGACTGAACAGTATATTTCTCTGGCAATTATTTCTACTATATTAAACTTTTCAAACACCAGCTAATGTACTGCCTTAACAAAAGTCGTTCATGCTCCAATCCAAAGATATCTCAGATTGACCTAAGATTATGGGGCCTTGGTGTTTCTTGACAACCTTTTCTACAATAACAGATTAAAATGTAAAAAATTGGATCCGCAATGTTGTAATACAAAGTTTCCTACTTTGAATAAAAAGCAGTTCGTTTCAAACGTTTTGATAAGTACTGAGATTGCTACTCACGTGTACTAAAGATCTAGAATGATTGTGTATGAGTAAATGATTAAGCTAAGTGTTTGTGTTTTATTTCTAAAGGCGTTATAATATCCTGTCGTTTAAGCAACCACATGTTATAATTCTAGTCTTTTACAAGGTTTTAAGTGTATGTATTGGTTTACTCAACTACTGGTTCGGATTGAACTTTTTTTGTGTTGAATAGATCTTTTTTGGAGAAAGGCTTTAGCCTACATTACATTACGACCAACAAGAGGATTTTTCGTTATTTCTGCTGCAAAGTATATACTTATATTCGTCATGTTTAAAACTATTAAATGTTTTTTTTTCGTATTAATACTTAAAGATAGTGTCGAGTAAAGCAGGAGCGGAATGTGGATCAATTTTTTTAAAAGTAAAAGCCGATATGGAAACTTAATTGTTTATTCAGTATTGTACCGATATAACTTCTAACATACTTAATATTATTATAGATAAGAAATATTAGGGTGCCTATAGCTAGTATATGGTGAGTAATAACCACCTTTAAAAACAGAATTGTAATAAGCAAGAAACCATGGTGGTTACAAGACAATCAAGGTCTTCTTAAGGTTGAAACCACTATATAAATTTAAATCAATATGTTTTAAAATTAGCATATTTGACTTCAGGAATTTTATTTATCAGTCTGTGTAAAACTATCGAGGATTATCACTGCAAATGAACTTAGGCCACTATAGCTGGAACAGCGACAGGCACCACTGGAGCAGCAGCACTTTTCTGAAGGTCTACGCAACAGCAGTTGGTAATCAGTTGGTATTCTTGGCAAGAGTTGGCGTGGAGGAAATTGCAGTTCGTTTTGCGGCAGGAGAATGGTAAATCTATAATAGAGGAAATAATGGTTTGTTATTTAAAAATATCCATATACTATCGACTATTTGCTAAGCATAATGATACAAAATGATCAATAAGTGTAAACTATAGAGGTAAATACTAAGGGTGGGATCATATGCGCTTTATTTTTTCTCCGAGTCAAAAGTCGGGTACCATTTAATAAGAATTATTCCGAAAAATACAATTTGCTAAAAAAATATACCTAGATGTTCTTATCATAAAATATTATGCTAGGGTAGTAGTTAGATGGCAATGTTTTTGTTAAAAATACCCACAATAAACACTTTATTTTCATTTTTTACAGTTAACTATGAAAATCTTAATTAATCTATAAATATTACAAATTTAACGTATTATAAAAACATCTTAATTATTTGACTTTATTACTTGTTAATTAATGCCTTAATTTATTTTAATTTTCAAATACTTACAAGCCTGGTTTTCGCAACAGCAGGAGTCGTGTATTTGCTTTTGCGAGCAATAACTGTACACAGACGAATCGCAAAGTGGACATCCGGGATGAGCTCCGGGTGGACCGTCTACGCCCGGATAACCCGGGTACTGGTTGCCAGGATATTGATTACCCGGGTACTGGTTGCCAGGGTATTGATTTCCCGGATACTGGTTGCCCGGGTATTGATTACCGGGATAATAGCCCGGGTACTGTCCAGGATATTGACCGTAGCCCACTCCTAATAAATAGTTCCAAATGTCGCTTATTCCAAATCCTGGTGATGAAATGGGGTGATGAATGAATGATACGAATATGCACATGAGCAATGGGCGATGAATGGAAATAGTGTACATTTTAATGATTTACAAATGGATTTAATGATGGTAAACAATGATATGATGCTAAGTAATTCAAAATACATATTAAGCGAAAATGTTTGTGGTATGAAATGAAAATGAAATCTGTTATATTTAAAACGATTTGCGAATGATAATGATTAGCGATTTAGTAATAATTATTACAATTTTATCGAGACAAGACTCAAATTTACTGCGCTAATATATTACTTAAGTAAGTTTTCTAAAGTTACACGCGTTAAATAGGAATATCTATATTATAACGTAGTTACAAAGTCTTCTAGCGCGTTTTTACATCTACTGATTTTTATTGTGCTATAAAAAAGACAAGTCCTCGATATGTAGGTCATTTCATGCCATTATAATACAATAATTGGACAAAACAATTTACCATATTCCTATGGCTTGGTCACACGCTTTGCAGATGAGTAAATTTTTAGCAAAAAGTCACATTAAAACTCGTATAACGGACTTCCTTATCTTAATTTGTTTCTGATTGAAAACTTAACAAAAACCTTGTCTTTTTTAGCAGGCACATTATATCTACGGACAACCGGTAAAATGGATATATTAATAATATCACCCACACCAAGTATACTCCATCATTAATTGTCTGTCCTCCTCAAAAAAGGTAATAAACTGAATAAATATTATGTAAAATATTAACGGTCCTTTAGTTTGTTATCGTTAAGGGCTTACTAAAATGTACAGTACATCTATATCTTGTATTTCTGTGAATTAATTTTCGGTTACAAACCACCGGTGTTATAATGAATGAGTCGAAAACTGTTATTTATTTTAATACATTGTAATTATTAGTTTGTTTATACGTTTGTTATGTTACCATTGTATTTATTGGGGCCTATTTTGTTTCTGCTTATATCGTAATTGCTGGGCTGAGCACCTAGCGTCGTGACATAGAGAAGTGAAGTCAATATTAATATATCAGAATATAGTTTAAAACATACGATTTTTTCAGTTTTGATTTATAAGTTTATGTACAATAATTGTGCCAATGTGCCAATATTAGCTAAATTAATATCTGAAATTAACTACTAAACATTCTCAAGGATCGTTAAAAATTATTGATTTTTTAAATTTGCTAAAATATAAACACCTTAACACTGTCTGTAGTTTACGCGAGCACACATTGAAATGAAACACTTCAACGGTTTAAAACGCGTTATATATTAATTTAAACTTATTTGAAAATTATTTTATCTATGGCCCGACGTTTCGCATACTTTGCAGCAGTCGTGGACAGGGGGAGTCGTCTCCCACCACGGCATAATTGTCAAATAAGTTTAATTAATATATACCGCGTTTGAAACCGTTAAATGGTTATATTTAAAATACAGACACTTAGGCAAAAATCATACGACAAAGATTAAATAAAACACAGACAATACTTAACTTGATAAAGACTATTTCATAAAAAGTAACTTTTTCCTATTAAATTTGAAAGAAAAGTAAAAAGCACTCACCGTTACAAACAGCTAACAACGCAGTTAAAGTAAGAAAAGCAAGGGCTGACGACATTTTAATGTTTTTAATAAAATGAAAAATAATAACTTCTATGTGTGATCCGTTCTATGGATGAGGATCGAATGTAAATAATGAAAAATGCCGCTTAAGACTTCGTTAGAACTTGCTCCACCGGTACAGTTGCCGACAAATTTTATTTTTTGGTAATCGTTAAAGAGCTTAAACTTGGCATAAGACGAAAAAAAAAACAAAATGTTAGTGATATTGGTATCGTTGTCATTCAATCTAATGCTCATGGCGCCATTATAATAGTATGTCTACACTTCTGTCCCTATGTACGCTTAAATCTTTAAAACTACCTGCGTCCTGGCCGACCTAAACAGTTTATTGATTCCCCGAGATTCAAACCGAGGATCATTCGTACTTAACGTGTACTGGTTGATACAGATATGTTTGTCATTTGTTACAATTATGGCGATTAATTTTATATAGGTAAATTTGAAGCCGGCAAAACTAAATGTAATTTCGTGCGTGAATGTACTTCAAGTGCAATATTATTAGTCCAAGGGTTACTGCAGCTGTCCTTAGGTATCCTAATAGGTCCGTTCTCTAGCAATTATTTAATAATATTGGACATTAGTACTTAGTCATTTATTAAAGCTACATTTGCATTAAAACTATTTATGACTCAGAGCAAATATACTTCTAGTTAAATCTAAAGAACGATTGCGCAAAACAGATAAAGCATTAAATAAAACACTTTTAACGGTTTTAAATGAGGAATATATTACGTTATACGGCGACCTCCATCTACGACCATCCGAAACGCGGGGCTGTTACAAGACAAATCCGCTTTAAACCGTTAAAGGGATATTATTGAAATAACCCGCGTAAACTACAGATAATGAAAAACCATCGCCCCCGGGGTTCCCCCAGCCAGGGGCCGGGGGGGACAAACACGGAACGTCGGGGAAGTTACAAATCATATTCCGCCTTTTAAAGAGTTAGTGTTTTATTTAAATGTGTTCAACTCGCGTGTACTTTAGACGGTATTTACAGATAATGGGTTAGTATACTATATTTGTGATTGGGTCCTAACAGCTTGTGGATTTTAAAGGCATTTCATCCATTATTTTTCTACGTGTAGTATGGTGGTACATTTAAGAGATTTTACAGATTACATTGAATACAGTTTGTCTATGCAATATGGAGACAACCCATATGTAAGTCAAAAGATATCGTATTTTTATAAGGAGAGCAGAACAGTCAAGCTGTAAGTTGCAATTACAATGCGTAACATTTCTTAACATTTAAAATAAACTTATAGGGGTTATTTTTGTGAGTGGAATGTAGTGTTTTCGTGGCGGGGTGTATCAAGGGATAATTGTATAAATGTTTAGCTTAGCTGCTAATGTCAGGGTCTCGCGGTGTTTGACCCGCTGTACCGTAATAGCGAACCAGTTCGTAACGACGATAAGGCTGTATGCATTTTGGATACTTTTTACTACTCAATTCTAAGAACTATAATTATTAAGTATATTATTATCATAATACAATTATAAAATCATACGAGTTAACTATACTATAGTCTGTGGTTTACACGAGTAAAACACATGTATATAAAAAAAAAGGTTGCGACGCGATGGATATTAATTTTTTTTAATTTGTTTTAACTACAGACGCTTTAGATGCTTTTCAGCAGTTTGGTCACAAGGCGTTAGGTAATTTTTTTTTCTATTAAAACATGTAAGTAGACCCAGATTTCTCTCGTATCATATTATATTCATCTCATTATAAACGGACCTTAATTATCTATGGTAGTTTTGTTCACAAAAAAATAAAGATTATCAGATCTCACGCTTGATTTACCCTAATTAATGAGTAACGGTTTTTTAATTGTAGATTTAAGCCGATTAAGATAACTTACCACGGTTGGTAGACATTTTTTGTTGTTATGTTATGTATATGTGTCGTGTTTTTATCCGTGGTATTTCATAATGTATAGAATAAACTTGACATAACTCCAAGGTATTAAAAACGTTTATTTAATTAAATATAAGATATATTCTTCAGCACTTACGTTAACTTAAAACATAATAACATACACACATTCTAGTTTCTAAAGGACTTATGTACCCAATGGCATTTCAAACTTGGCATTAGCTTAGCTTTATATAGGGTTCAAGTTTCATAGCTCTCATGATGTCTCCAGTGACCGAACACCTTCCTGCTTGCATGATGACCCTCGCGTCCTCTTTTCCTTGGACTAACTGTTTGAAATAATGCTCGTTGAGAGTGAATGTGGTGTCAGGGTCTTCTTCGGGTTCCCCTTCGTATACAATTACTTGGTTGAGGTCCATTGCTAAAAAGAGCAAAGACCTCAAAAGATCAAAAGGAAAATGAGAATGTGATTGTGACAAGCAAAACAGCTTAGGTTATATTAAAAATCTATTTAACTTAAAACAATTTTACTGTATCACGGTAGCTCGGCTGCATAAGGAGAAGCAAGAAGCTGTGGATTCGGGGTCAAGTCTTGCTCGTGTCGTAATTATCGACTAATTATAATAGTCTAAATAGATTTTTATTTTATGTAATGCCATGACTTATATGCCCAATAACTTATGAAGAATACAAAAGTTTTTAAACGGCTTACGTTATGTTTTACATTTATTAATCAAAATAATTATCCTGTTTTGTTATCTTATAAAAAAAGCTTATATACGAATCAAATTAAAAATCTCCTTTTGTAAAGTCATTTAAACAATTAGATCATTTTAGAAATAAGATCATAAAGATAGTAAAGTCTATGAATTATAAATCAAACTTATAACTCATATTTTCTTATAGAGCAAACTGTCGGTAAAAAAGTCCCATGTTCCATTTGGGACCGTAAACTTCACGTTTTATACATCTCATTCCGCTTAATAAAGACACAAGTTAGAAATAAACACACTGAGCGAACTTTACGTAACTACTAACGTAACTTTAATGGACGCAGGAAACTAGTTATTCTGATTCTCTGAAACGAAATTCTTATGAGGTGATAATAACCTTTAGTAACCAAAAATGTTATTAAATATACATTGCATAAGATGGAAGGATATATGTTGCTTCTTTCGTGACTGCCTTTTACACATGGCTCTTATCAAAATAACATAAGAAAGAAAAAAAGAATAAAAATTACTTACTCCACGAATAAACCGTAGTCCCTTTAATGATGTTGAACAAGAAAACACCGCCGACTTCTCTCGCTTTATCTTTGTCAGTATTTTCCACTCTGGCTTTGATCCTCGACACCAAATCTGCTTTCGAGCTTGTACTCGTGAGTTCGCTTTGTGATGCTCCCTGAAATCATGGACGCTTGTCAAATGCAGTATGAATTGAAAAGGCTTACCTTTTTTAATATTGTACATTGTCTTAAACTACTTAATAATACAAGTCATATTTAAAAAATCTCGGTGTGACCAAGAAACAACATATTTTTTTAAATAATTTACATAGTTTTATTAATTTTAATAAAACGCTTTTAGTCGAAATGTATTTCATCAATTCTTTTTAATTAAGTTTCCCGAGGGTTCCGATAGCTTTATAGCAGCCCCGCGGATTAATTTTTAATAGCACAATAACAACAACTTATTATTATTTTTTATTGTATTTTGAACTAGCAAACTTTTGTAACTTTACACTTCGCTTAGTTCCGCATGGTATGCACCAACATCACTATATTATTTACATAAAACCATGCCTATCTTGTTTAATAAATAAAAAGGTAGAGTTTATGTATATAAATCGTTTAGGCGTGACAAAGAAACATCCGGTCATCTAACTGACTTCATAGCAGAACACTATACTATATAAAAGAGTTAAGAGACGTTAGATTTCGTTGTAGTAATGACATTTTGAATTAATATTTAAATGTCTTTGTATTTCTATGAGGTAATAAGCGATAAAGAAAAACTTACCATCTCTGAGTGTATCGGATACCGTTGTGCGTTCGGAAGAGGCACAGCTGACAGCATTCACTTTCACTTCTTACAAAACTCTGCATATACCTATGCGTTTACCATGCTTTTCAGATAAGGTTAACCAACTGCGCAAAAAGTATAATACACGAACAGACATCGCTTGTAATCAAATTTGAATTTGACATTAGGTTTTGGTGATAGGACTAGGAATAGATACAGAGGATAAATTTGTTCTAATGGTATGGCTAATAATCAACGGGTCGTGGTGGATTCGCACCGGGTGTAACAGATTTCATCAATTTTTAATTTTTCTGGAACATGTTGCACTTCGCCTGAATATGTAGGAGCAGGAATAGCGAAATTAAGTTTATGTAATTACCGTATTTACGCCTTTTACATAACCAACATATAATTTAATATCTTGTTAAGCTTTCCTTCCGTCTAATTTTTGTTCCTAGATTTTCATTGATGTCTTTATGTACAAGGAATTATTATTAATACTGTTATATACGAAGTAAATAAAAGTTACACTTACTTCGTATCTTCGATGTGTAGAGGTACTTCATAGAAACAGATAACAAATAGACCAGATAAACTAAACAAATTAATTAAAACACGTATAACGGTTTAAACTCCGTATTTTCGAAAGTATAAACTATATACATATATGCGAGAAGTATTTTCGTATCATTAGATACGTTTACCCTTACATTTTTTTAATGTGAAAGAATAAAACTTAATAACTGACATCTCTTCACTTTAACCATCAATTGTAAAGGTTCTACAATAAGGCTGTGTACGATCTCGACTGGTTCACAAAGTTTGTACTGTTGTAATGCTAAGAGATGGCGCTTTAATAAATTATAATGTTATATTTTGCATTATTATTAAAATGAGGCTTGCATTATTTTATCTACTCATTAGTGCAATTTAAAAATAAAAACAATATTTATTACTATCATGCAACATCGTAATCGCGTTTCGTTTGTGTGTTGCGTTTCGATTGTTAAAAGTAAAATCACAAACACTTTTATATAAAAAAGTGAAATATAAACCGTTTAAATGCGTTCTATTTTAGTCAATTATTTATGATGTAGGTTTTCCTTCAATAAGGACACTCAAAAAAGAACATCGCTTAAACGCATATTTTTATGGTTCCATTAAAGAAAATATCTGTAAACGTTTGGAAATTAAATTTACATATCCTATTTGTTTAGTCCCAAAGCGGGGCACTTTCCCGAGACGTTAACATGTTTCCAATAAAAAGTTGTTTGGCATACGTAATAGTCTTTTGTTTTTTTGCGGCCGTGATAAAGTACGCCACGTTGAAGACTTTTTTATTGTGTAATGGTGGACGTTTAGCGTTGTTCTCAATGTGTTGTAGGCTTTATTTATCGGCCTTACAAACGATACGATACGATACGATGAAACTTACTAAAGTAGTAAATTATTGTCAAAAATATTGGGCTTACAGAAGGACAGAGACAGAATACTTACAAAAGGTCAACAATGTTCATGAGCTCATGAATTCTGATCGATGATAAAACTGCTCTTTACCTCTTTAACTTTTTGTTACCTTCTTGTTCAATTACCTCAGGTGGCAAACCTAACTTACAAACCGCCCTAGAGCGTTAATATGGTGAAGTCTAGTACGATTTTGAGTCGTTTTCGAAGCGTGTGGAAAGGAATTTTTTCAATTTGACGAAACCCTTAAATTTCAATAGAATTTAGCATTCATAGAACGCTGCCGAATAGCGAATACTTCAGGTAACTGTCTTCAAACAAATGAATCCATGAATACATTAATATAAATCACACATTATCCTTCTTGTATTAAATTAGCTATTTGTTTTGATAATCATCCGCCGTTGCTCCAGGGATTTTCCTTTTCCACCTACGTGGAACGAATTATGAGACACATTGCAGTTCTTTGGTAAGTTTGACTTACGATTTTTTTGTCCAACACGACCGAAACAAAAGAATAACAAATGTTTGTTAACGCGTATAGTGTTTCGAGTAGTATGATAGTGACACTTCTTCACTACATTTAAAATAAGCTATTCATTCTTGCTAGATATATAAGAAAGGCTTAGTTCAGATACGTTTTCGATATCTAACGGGAGTTATTTGGAAAACGATGTCTCGGTTGACGAAAGCATTACCTTATTATTTAATAATAGCAAGATTTAGGGGATATTTTGGTCACCAGTTGGAGAACATACTAACATATGATGCCGCTTTATGACTTGAGATATTTATATTTTTGTAGTCTAAAAATGTTCACCTGTTCAAGAGCACAGTGACCGATTGTTAACATAATTTTTAAACAAATATTAGTACTAATGAATGATTGCCTAAGTTAAATGCTCATTTTTTATTTTCCTCCTTATTATAAATCATGTTTTTTGTTATTAGGCCACTCTGCCTTTAGCGGCCTTATATTATACATACCTATAAGTAAAAAGCACTGAACTCGGCAGAGTACTCTCGAAGTAATGCCTCAAGGCGACAAAGTACGCCGGGGTTACAAGCAACAAATGGAAGCAGTCACCACGTAACATTAGTACGGGCGTGACGTAAGGCTGAAACGGGCCATGCAAAGACGCGGTCGCCTGGGAAATTACCCGGGCAAGCTACCCGGCCAACACCCGGATAATACGTCCTTGTCACATGTCATACCCGCCTCGCGATACTCAGATTAAGATTTGAACGTCCCAATGAAATGGAATGTGTAATGGAAGACGGATTTTGAATACGGCAAAGATACATATTATATTGAATTTGATTGACTATTAATATTTACCTTGGTACCTACAGACTTTTATATCCGTTTTTTGACATTCTAAACATTTGTTGACATGTTGTGTAGAAGATAGTTTCTATATCGGGTGATACAATCCACATCGTGATTTTTTCCAAGTCGTGCATAGCCATACGTAGAAAAATAAGCTTTTGGAATATTCCTACCGTCCATTTAACATCCAGAGTTCTAGACGAAGTCCAATAAGTTACAAAAAATTATAAACCCGTTGGATACCCCAGAATCTCTTGATTATTAGCGATAAGTTCGTCGTGGGGTCGAATTATGGCCGTGTCAAACGTGGTCTTGTAACATTTTAAACATGACAATCAACAGACTTAAATATTTATATGTACATCATTGACTTTTGTGAAACTTACATAAGATTAACTCTGCTTGTCTGTCCCCTTGTCATAAAAAGCCTCCACTTCAATTCAGTCTGATCGAAATAAGGCACAAGCAGTGCGGCCAATCCACTTCAATTTGCATGTTTTATTATTTGGGCTGAAGTGTTTAATATACATGAGCATGAGATACAATATCGCCTTTTCGGGTTGGTATACACTTTTTGCGAAAAGGACGGGCAGACATGGGGATTCCTTGATGCAATGTGAAAGATCTTAGCCATATAAAATCTAAATAAGATGCGATGTCCGGAGATTTATACTTCTCAGCTTTTCCATCTGTTGTTCGTGAACGTTTCTATCACCCTTGTTATATCCAGGTTAATCAGACAACATCAGAAAATTATTAATTGATACAGTATTGATAAGTAGTGTTTAGGTAGGAGTCACCAGACACAAGAATTTGCTCAAAACAGATTACTACCTTTTGCCGTAAATGCGGTACGTACGTAAACAAATAGACAAAAACTTCAGAGCAACATTGAGTGACAATGTATTAAATATATTTACGCATATTTTTTACAAATAGCTTCAGTATTTGTATTATATTATATTATTTTTAATTAGGCGTGTAACTTGGGCACAGATCTATTCAAGATGACAGTCGCGCTGTTTCTCGATGCCATATTCTTCTGCGACAGAGTGCGTGATGTGGTTCTGCTGGATATCTTTGTTGGTTCAGAGGAATGCACTACCAGTTTAGATGGCATTTGAGCGTAAGACTTGGTTTGCAGCAATTTGGTAGTAGACACAGCAACTGCTACCACGTTTGGTGTGATGGATTCGTGGGTTGTTAAATTTTCACTCGGAGTTAGTTGTTCCTGGCGACGTTCCACTGGAAATTATGGAAATATGTGTTTACCTTAATCAAATGTTTCTCCGATCTCTAATATTAGAAAACGATCTTCGTTTTCAAATTTTTCTACTCTTAGAAAATAGTTCGAAAATCTGAGCTATAGTTTCATGTAAGAAACAAATATTACTTTTATAATAAGCACACATTTAGTGACCGCCTCTGTAGCCAAATGTCCTGGGTTCGAATCCCAGGGAAACAAAAAATTGTTTCGGTCGGGCAGGGCACAGAAGTCTTATCAACTACTTGCCTGATAAAGAACTGATCAGTGAAACGAACACAAAATGTGTTCGCCCCATGCCCCACGAGGGGGAAACGGGATTCTACACTGTCACACATACCCATTTAGTACCAAATTTTATGTTTATTCAAGGAAAACGTTATGTTCGTTAGTACACACAATTATGTGTCTAGGATGCTAGCTACCTTAACAAAATTCTACTATTATTAGTTATTAGCCGTTAGAGAGTTTAACAGTTAAAACCATTCATCATTACAAACGTGAAGAATTAGTAAGAAAGGACGACTCTGTAGCCAAATTGGTAACCGTGTAGCGTAGAACACGAGAGGTCCTGGGTTTGAATCGCAGGGAAACAATAAATTATTTCGGTATAAGAATCAATCAGTAACACGGACCCAAAAATGTGTTCGCCCTATGCCCCACAGAGGAAACCAGAATTTCATTTTTAAGAAAAGCACGGTTAGATTTTCGGCATGCAATGTTTGTGAAGTAACAGACTTAGGACCCAGCATTGGTTGACTGTATTGTTCGACGGTTTTTCTAGAATACAGTTTAGACTAACTTACTAAGACGTCTGATAGCAGCTTCTATTCTCCTCTCAAATACGGTTCCCACTAGCAGGAACATGATTATAGCAACTATAATAGGACCGTAGACCCACCATTCCATAAGTGCTGATATACCAACAGTGTTTGTGCGATTTTAACAGATTCTTTTAAAGTTTACATGGTTAGAAATTGTATTATATTATTGTACTAAGCCATTGAGATTCTTTACAAATTGGGCATAGCGGAAATAAGATATTTTGACATTTTACTTCATTTGTCAAAGTTGACAGTTCATCTCCGCTTGTTAATATAGACAAAATATGCGTCGTTAGTTAGTTATAACTTGATGACTTTGAAGAAAGATTTGAGAAAAATGTTTCAGGTAAGTTTTGGCTATGATTGTCACAGTGAATTAGGAGATATAACTCGTAAGAAGTAAAGCGTTTTCCACATAGATTCTGAGACGAAGATAATCTCTTGTAGATTACACACGGATTCTTTTTGTCTTATTTTAGAAAATAAATAAAATTTCTAAATAAAATAGGAGTCAGAATAAATAAATTTTCTTAATGTCGCAGATCGCGTATGGTATGTCGACCTACGTATTTTTACATGCCAATGAAAACTCGAACTTTTATGTATTTTCAAGATATTGAAGTTTACAAATAACTTTTTTAATTTAAATAGTTTAGAAAATAAAAGACGCCAAAAACAAGAAATGTATTTTTCCCAATTTTGCGGATAAAAGAACATAAAATATAGTATGCTAGCGGTGTCCGTGTGTTGTCGGTTCCAATGGAAAAAATTGTGGGCTGTCCCCATTCCCGTAATGACTTGTCGTCAACCTCTTGATAACAAGCGATATTTTCTAGCATATACATATATATATATATATAACCATTTACTTTAAACTTATACGTGTACATAATAATTTGAAGCTATTACTTTGTATAAATATATAAACATTATACTAGTAAATATGTTATTGTCAAAAATGTTACGAATTAATGCTGATTTAACAGATATATAAAATATTTCATATCTGTACTTGATTAAATATGATGTCAGACAAAACTTGTTAGTTTATGGCTGTTCCTATAGGTAAATTTCGTTGTCTATATTTTTTTACAACTCACATTATAGGTGTCATTTGCTTTTTAATACTTGAAAAAGAAAAATTATCAGAACAATAAAAAAACCTTGAAACGTATAAAAAAATATTCCAAGTACAATATACACAGAAAAAACAAAATAATATATGAAAATAATTATAAATAAAAAATAAATCAAAGAGCATACATGTTGATAATGAATATAAAGTAGACTGGGATAAGTACAAGCCATTCGATTTGTGTCAAAGCACATTACGATGGCCAGTGGCTGTGGCGGCTATGAGCGTTTGACAGGGATAATTAAAAAAGTAATAAATAAAGTCATAAATTATGCATCGTAAAATATTTGAGGGGTTAAAAACAGTCCAAACTTAAACAAAGGGACCTCATTCAAACATTAAAAGCACAGAACCTTTTCTCAAATCACGTCGAAAAAGTATCGACCTCTCGTCTATTAGCCGGAATCGTCATTCCGGACACGTTTCACCGCAAAAACAATCGACACGCTACAAATAGCCACAAACGCTTACAAATAGGGGTGCCAAATTGCTCATTGGCTGCTCATTAACGCTTTTTATATATACGCATTTCACAGGTGGGTGTGGAGTTTGATGCCTATACTGCTGCTTCTAATTTTGCATTATATGTTCTGTACATGTCCACAAGAAGATCCGCGAAATGCTTGTATTGTCACAATACTACTGAATGGATAACAATCTAGTCTGGCGGCTTAAAAAATGCAAATAAGTTTAAAGCGAATGCGTGGCGTAGGAATAACTTGTTACACTTGTTAGTCTTTTTTTACGAATTCTTTTTAGGTTTGTATATTCGGATATTCGGAATTACAGTTAAATACGACCGACTGATAAATAGCTATCACGTGTTTATTGGTTTAATTGCATTAATGTATTGCTAGGGAAACGTGTTTCTAATCATTTTGTAATTTTTATCTGGATCTGTGATCGCAAAGCACCGTCCACAGATGCGAGCCGTAAAGTCGAATCACGTTTCGGTTTCAGTTCGTGGATTTATGAATATCCAAAGCCTCAATAGGTGGACAGCATAGCTGGGTAGGATTTTATATGCCTGGGATATTTCACCGATCAATTTAAACCATAAGCTTATCTCTCCTCCTCTGTCATATTTAGTTTAAAGTTGTATTAATGTAAGCGCTTGAGTATTAAGAGTTCATAGTTTTCACGGTTTAAAACGAGACATATATTAGTAATTTCATTTAATTACGGTTCGACGTTACCGCTGAGGTCACCAGGGGACAGATGATGGAGAGTGTCTCTAATGTCAAAATCTTATAGCAGTGTTGAATTTGACATTTCGGAATGTCAAAGTCAATAGTGCTAGAGTAAAGTATTTTGCTGTACTCTATGGATGCAGGTCGTGGAAATATGAAAAAAGCCCGTCGGTTTCTGACTGTGAATAGTTTCCGGTCCAAATCAATAATTTCCAATTATATCCAATATATTTTGACACGTATTGGATCTTCAGCCCTACTTCCATTGTTCCCTAGATTATAACCGACAAGTAATTGTTACGTGTAGCGAATGAGAAGGGAATTGATAGAGATTTAGCTAAGCAGCGTATTAATAGAACGGATGTTCGTAAGGCGGCGTACACCTGACGCTGGATCTATATGTATCCAACGTAATCCTTCCATTATACTGATATTGACCTGAGGTTCAGTACTTAATTAGTTCACGACGAAGTTCTGGCTTCTACAAGAGTATGGTACTGCAACATGTGTCATATTACTTATTGTTATTATATTCATTGTAATGGTAGCTTTTTATGGATTATTAGCCATAAAAAGCTACCATTACAACGGATCGTGGGTTCAACCCCGCCGGGTCCAATATTTTTCTAATTAATTTATAACTATTCTGAAACATTTTAGACTTCATCTGGATATGTCATTATTAAATAGGTGTTAGGAATTTATAAATTTCGCCCGGTCTCGAACCACCGCCCACAGATAAAAAGGCCGCGAAGTCCAAATATCAATTTCAAAATATCCAAGGCCAAAATAGGTCAACAGCATATCTTGTTTAGTTGTTATTTATATGGCTGGGATATAAAAATCGAATTGAATTGAAAAAATACGACTCGGGCAGGAGATGTTTTTTCAATTAATTTTTGATTTATATAGTGCCACATCATAACATATTAAAATAATGTCTGTCTGTCTTCCCTAAAAAAAGACGTGCGTCGAACTTACGACCGTCGTAAGAATGCTTCTCTGATTGACTTTGCAGAACAGAATAGCGGCCATTTATTACGATTTTAACGAGAAATTAAATCAAGTATTGCAATTTAAACTACCTTTAAGCAAATATTTTTTATTTGATTATTTTCCACAAGCATGTATTGTAATTTAATAATAATTATTGTTTATATATTTCTGTATTTAGTACTTGCTACTCTAGCGACGTCGTCCGCGTGAAATAGTTATTTTCGGCATCCAAATTAATCTTTATAAATTTAAGCTGCTCACGACATCGGTCACGTCCCGTCGCTCGGGACCCGTCGTTCGGGTCCAGTCGTTCTAGCGAGTTAGTTAGATGTAAAAGAGAATCATTCTTTGATATTTTTTTGGGTATCTTGAACCATTTTAGCAGGGTACCCATCGGAAACCCACGGTGGTGAATAATTTCCCCCTTTTTTTCACATTTTCTAATGTTTCTTCACTCCTATTAGTAACAGCGTGATGTTTTCTAGCCTATAACCGTCCTCAATAAATTCTCTACCCAACACAAATAATTTTTCAATCTAACCAGTAGTTCCTGAGATTAGCGCGTTCAAACATACGAACAAACAAACAAACAAACTCTTCAGCTTTACAGATTAGTTTAGATTTCAGTCATTCCAATTTATTGTCAAAAATTAAAATTAAGTTAAAACTTTTTTTTACTCTTATTGTAGAATTTTTATTCATAGCCTAGCAGTCTAGATATTTTATCAGCCAAGTAACTAAACCTTTTGTGTTACATGTCATAGTCGTTACAATGGTTAAATGCGCTTCAAATGTGGTTAGAAAATGACGTCATAGAGCGGCCATGTTATCGGGTGTCACACAGTAATGGGCCAACAGTCCGGCACCCAATCATTGGGATAACTGTTATCAACTGAATTATTCATGTTTCACGTTGTTCAAAACAGGCAAATTTAGCGAACAATCATATGTTATATGCGGATGTATAATATGTAAAAGAAACAACAAACTGGACTTGACTCGGGCCCCCGGTAAAAAGCCCTCGGAAAAAGCCTTTAAAGCCAAAATAATTATTTACTAGCTTATACCTATTGTTCCTAACTCAGAGTACTAATTGTAAGCTGGATTCGTCACATAATTCTAAGTTACTGGTTCTTCTAATGAAAATTATGTTTTCGGGTGTAAATAAACACTTTGACGGTTTAAAACGCGAATTGCACTTAAAAACGGTTTACATGCATTGCAGCAGTCGTGTCCATAGTGAGAGTCTCACACTACTATACTTCGCGATTTAAACCGTCAAAAGTGTTTAATTTAAACGTGTACTATTCGTGTAAGCTACAGACAGAAGATATTTTTTTGGGTGGTAATGTATCGTAGTGATGTAAGCTTAAACTCGAGTATATTCGACCCCATGTGGGCGCTCTTAATCCCGATTACCACACAAATAGACAATAGCGTATGTTATTCAGAAAACTAGGAGAATAGAACTAAGTAAGATCTTTTGATCAAAGTCTGTTTTGACGTTTTTTCCGTACTCCGTACTGTGGCCGACACGTCTTTTTCCCTGAACACTTTGCGTTTAAATAGACCTTCTCTAGAAATGAAAAACCTATGTTACACTACGTTCTTACAACTGGTATAACTTCATAAAACGAAGTTGGCCGGTGACATAAAGCTAAAGGACGAACAAATGCTCTTTAGCTTTTAGGAACAAAAAATAGCATCTCTAGATTAATTTTCCTCACATTTCATAATGTTACAGCATCTCTCCTATCTCTACAA